AAATTTTAAATTGCTTCTTTAAAGACGAATCGGAGAAGAAGAAATCGAAGTAAAGAAAAGAATTTCAAAAGCGGAAACGAAAAGCTTACCAAGTACCGATCGAAAACGACACAGTTTCGGAGAACATTGAAAGAACGCGAGCTTCTTCTCCGATGAGTAATTATTTTTCTCTTTCGTTTTGGGATTATTGAAGATTGAAGATGGAACAGAGAAGGAAAAAATGGGAGAATTTGGGGATATAACCGCGAAATTTTAAAATAAAAAATTAAAAAACAAAAACAAAAAGTAATGGCTAAATAAAAGCGATTTTTTTTTCTAATTCTTTCTTCAAATTTTTTTTTTTTTGGTTGTTTTCAATTATTTAATTTTTTTTTTAATTCATGATTATGATAATCCCGTGTATTTTGTAACTCTGTTTAACATAAAACACCTTTGTCCTTATAATTGGGCTTTGGTTTGATACAAAAGATGGAAATGAAATATGAAAATCATTAAGGATCGAAATTTTATTAATTTAATAATTAAAATTTATAATTATTTTTTTATTTTATAACTTAATTATTAAATTAAAAAAATTTTCATCTGGATTTCTTTTCATATTCTTACCAAATGCAGTCTTAATGCTTTCGTGGATCTGACTGAGTTTTAGGTAAATATTTTTTTTGTTGTTGATACACAATTCAAAAAGCCCATTCCATTACTTTTTTTTTTTTTTGAGATATTTAAATATTCTGTAATTACTCTAAATTTCGATTAATCTAAAGTAAAATTAAATTAAATTTCATAAAAAAGATAAGCTCTTTCAAATTTATTTTTTTTATTTACAATACTTAAAATTCAGATTTTATTTTTAAAAAACTAAACTCTTTATCATTCAAATCAAATAAATTCATTTGCAAACATAAAAAGATTTTTTTTTTTTAATAATAAGGTGTTTTTGAGTTTTGTTCATATATTATCTCTTCGAATCAATTAAAATAAATTTATTTATATTAAAATTTATGAAAATTTATTTTTTTACAATCTTTCAACAAATTCAAACTGAGACAATAAAAAAAAAACACCTTCTTTTTATTACTTAAACCAATAAAAAAAAAGTCATCGTCCATTTACTACTAGATTAGACTATTTTTTCAATGGACAGGTTGAATTAATTTATATAACTATTTTTAAAATATAACATTTAATAAATTTAAAATTTAAATTATAATATTTTTAATTTTTTTCACTTTTTTTAAGTTGCTTTCTTTGTTATATAAAAATTATAAATTAATAATATAATTTTTTAATTTTTTTAATGACAGAAAAAAATAATTTTCAATAAACAAAAGTATCAAAAATGTCATAGTGGATAAGAATATTTCATGAGTGGTGTCTAAAGCTATGGTTCCTCAAAAAAAATTCAACATAAAATTCAGTAAACTAAAATAAGATATGGTAACATAAAAATTGATATAAACAAAATATATAAAAATAACATAATTTAAAATTTTTAAAAAAATTATAAATAGATTTAATAAAATTAAAAAATTATATTTTATATTTTATATCAATATAAATTATATGATATATAATTTTTATATAAAATATTATACAAATATAATATTTTACATAATACAATAATATAAATTATCAAATCTAACATACATCCCAAGAATAAAAAAAAAAAAAAAAGAAGGGATGAATAGTTTTTACTGTGGCATTTGATCCTTCAAATATTTTTGTCTGCCACTGATAATTTTTTGTCATGATTGCAGCACCAAAATACACATATTTTTTTATGAATTAAGGATTGCATTGTTAAAAATCAAATGCTAGGAAACAAGACCATGTTTTTTAAAATAGGATTTCTATCAGGCAATAGTTTTTTTTTTTTTTGTAATAAAATAAGATCTCATTTGATATTATAATTAAAGTTGACATTTTGTTATAATCTTTAAATTCAAGGACAAACGCAATATCAAATAAGACAGGATATATATCATTAGTCATGATATGCTAATAAAATATTAGATTTTTAATTTATAAATGGTAATATTAAAAGTTTTAAATTTAAATTTTTTAAAAAAAAATTTAATGAAAAAAAAAATTTTAATGTGGCATGAAAAATTACATTGTTTAGAAAAAATAATTTATATATATGTATTGCTTTTTAATTTTTAGAGAGATCCAAAGTCCAAAACCTTTGACAAAACACATGAATTCAACCTCGCCGACATTTGGCTGATAAAGATACGGTTACAAAAGCAGTGCACAAATATTATAAAAGTGCCCACGTGTGGGCATGTGGCCAAATTTTGATCAAATTGCGTGAATTTAATTTAATTTTATATTAAAAAAACTCAAAAAATTTTAAAAAATTAAAAAAATAAATAAAAATACGATGATAACATAATTTAAAATTTTAATAAAAATTATATATTAATTTAACAAAATAAAATTTATATTTAATATTTTCATATCACATAAATTATAACATATAATTTTTTATAAAATATAATATAAATATATAAATTATCAATATTTTTTTATAATATAAATACACGATTTATTATGTCTTCTTTATACACTGATGACATGAAAGCGATCTTAGCTATTGGTTTCTAGAGAAAAGAACATCTCAGCCGTTGATTTTGTGAGGTTAAAACTATTGTAAATTTGTACAATATATTTTATTTTACGAGTCTCAATTCCATCTAACTTGTCATGCAAAGGAATTTAAATGAGCCCTAAAAGTACTCCTTTGAAGATAAAGCTTTGACTCTATTGTGTTCACTAATAAGGTCAAATTTTATTTTATTTTTATTAACTTGCATCGGAGAAAATGAGATGATATTAAAAAAATTAAAAAATTCAAATTAATTTGAGTTAATAAAAAATTTAACATTTTATTTTATGACTTAGTCAATTTAAGTTGATTTGAGTGAATATTTTAGTAGGTTAAAGGTTTTCAATTTGAATTTACATAAATTATTATATGTAATTCGAGTTAAATATTCGTTATAAAATTGACAAAAATTCAAATAAAATAACTTAATTTTTTAAAAATAAAATTTTAACAAAAAATCTTTAATACTTCCAATTCCTCGATATTATTTCATTTTAGTATTATTTAAGTAAATGCATGAAAATTATTATTAATTTAATTATTAAACATTAAGTTATTTTTTTTTTTGTGCAAAATAATGAAGGAACCACTTAGACTTTTAGGACGCTAAGTCCCTAATTGGGTTTTATTATACTTTCATTACGGTGTAATTAAGTTTATTATATTTTTAGTTGAATTTAAATATCAAATTTAGTAAAATTAAATTAGTATCAATTTTTTATTAATTTTTTTTAATCGCAGTTATAATAATTTTATTATTATTTTTAATCTCATCATAATTAATCTCACTATTTATCAAAATATAATCTAAGTTTTGTTACTCTAATAGATCTTTTTGAATTAAAATAACCAAATTTATTCAAAAATTATTTAACATATAGTGAATAAACACTAAAGAGATATGTGTTATGATTTTAATCTCACTTATATAATTAAAAAATATTATTATCAGTTCATTTAATAATTATATAAATATATATGATAATTAAATAATTTAATTTAATCCCACCAATAAACCAAGGAAATTCAAACAACTATAAATAACCAAAATCAAGACTTTGCCTTGAGTAAATTTTTATAAGATTATAAGGGAATGATTGCTCAAAAAGTTTTTATTTCAAGATTTTTATAAAAAAATTTTTATATTTCTGTTTCATTTGAAGGAACGATGAATCTATAATAAAACAAAATAATAATGAAAAAAATATATTTTTCATCTAATATTCAAATTAAATATTAATATGCATAGAAAAAACATCACAATTGAACATTTCTTTCCTCAAATATCATCTTAATAGTTGCTTAAGGACATTTATTAATATTTTTCCTATATTTTATTTTAATTGGATCTTAGTTTTGACAAATAGATTGTCATGGTTATGTCCTAAATTTGAAAACTGTGCCAAAAAGATTTTGTTGTTTGCTGTCATGGGATGGAATCAAAGTAAACGACAATTGTTTTCTAATTAAGTAATGTCTTGTTATAAAGAAGTTGATAATTTTATTTTAGAGAATATATATGAGTAGAAATTTACTTATATTAATGTAATTTTTATTTTTTTTGAATTATTTAATCAAAATTATTAATTTTTAAAATATTAATTTTTAATTATTCATCATCTTCAAATTTCGTAACAAGCTAATTAATTTATATGATAAAAATCATTTAAGTTTTTATTTTTTTTACTAAACTAATAAATATATTATAAGATGGAATAATTAAAAATATATGATTTGTATTCGACATTAGATTTCAATCGTTCTTTTCACTCTAATTCAACCACTAGATTACCTTTCCAAATAAGTTGTTAACATAAATTTATTTTGTTAATGATGTTCATAAACGATTCTTTTATAATATAGTTAAAAATATTTTAAAATTTTATTTATATAAAATTTCAAATTATTTTTAAGATGTACTTTGAATTTGATATATATTAAAATTTTATTTTCAAAGTATTTCTCACAAATATTAAACTTAATTAAAAAATAAAAAAAGATTATTGATAAAAATAATATATTTTAAAAATAAAAACAATACAAAATAAAAATTTTAATGGATTTTTTTATCTAAAAATTATCATTTTAAATATTTAAAATTATCAAAAATTAAATTTTAATCATTTAAATTATAATCCAACGCCGTTAATATGTCGGCAAAAATTATCATTTTTTATTTTTAAAAAGCTAAAGAAAAGAAAAAAATTATTGGGAAAAAGCAGTACAAAGAAATCCCTTCCTTTTTTTGACTATTTTAACCTTATCCCGACAGGGAAATTCCCTTGAAATGAGGACATATTTGTCATTTGAAACACCTTCATTAATATAATCAGTTGATTAAAATAATTTTAATTTTTTTCAGGAAATTCTATTTCCCTCTATTTGGCGCGTATATAAACCGACCCATGAAGGAAAAAGAGAGAGAAAGATCAAACAGACGGCAAATAACTTTGAGAAACTGACCAAGCCAAACAAACCAAACCCAAAGAAACAACGGACAGAACAGTGTGTGTGTTTTGGTTGAGTGTAAGAAAAAAGGGAAAGAGAGACAGAGTTTCAGGTTTTTTTGTTGGTTGCGGTTGCTTATTTGTTCTTCTTTCTGTCTCTTGAAAAGAAGACAAACACACCCGTTTGATCGGATTGCAATTTGGGTTATTTGGGTTGTTGTCCGTACGTTAAATGGAGCGGGACCCAGAGTCCGATCCACAACCGGAATGGACAGCTCCGGGACCCGAAACGGGGCTCGAAGGTAAAGAATACGCTTTAACTTTTTTTTTTTTTGGATTTTTTTTTGGGTGTAATGTGGGATGTGATACGAGGTTTTTGTTTGAAATGTAGAGCCGGTTTGGCTGTTGGGATTAGGGGGTGGGTCGGAATCATACCCGGAGCGACCCGACGAAGCTGATTGTATTTACTATTTGAGGACTGGGTTTTGCGGCTACGGCTCTAGGTGTCGGTTCAATCATCCACGTGACCGTGCTGCAGTAAACAATAGATAATTTGATTGAATTATTGTTTTTTTATCTGACTTGATGTTTTCTTTAAGGTTTTGATTTTTCTTTTGTTTGATCATGGTCTTTGGAGTGATGGGGTTTGAATTTTGGGGTAAATATGGAAAGTTTTCTGTTACTGCATTAAGATCTAGTGTAATTGGTAATGGAGATTTTGGTAGAACTTTGATGTTCATTTGTTTTGATTGATGAAAGAAATGTGATGATGATGATGATTGCCTTAGGTTATGGGTGCTGGAAGAGATGGTGTAGGGGAGTATCCAGAGAGAGTGGGCCAGCCAGTTTGTCAGGTACTTTTTGATTATATTGTTTCTTAAACGTTTGACAAATTTGAGGTGTGTACGCCGAAAGATTACGATTTAAAAAATGTGCGTTGCCTAAATTCTTGGAGGTAAAGGTAACTTTATGTCTCTTCATTTTATGTTTGAAGGATAGAGTTAGGTCTTGTATTTTTGGTGAATAGATTCGGTTTGGTTTGACAGTTTAGGAAAATGGTAAGTTGCTTTTAACGTTGATTATGGCTTTCCTTTTTATTGATTTGCAGTATTATATGAGGATGGGGAGATGCAAATTTGGTGCTTCCTGTAAGTACCATCATCCGAAGCAGGGGGGTGGTTCTGTTAGCCCTATGTCACTAAATTATTATGGATACCCACTACGCCCGGTTTGTATCACTTGACATTGACACTTAATCTTTTAGAAACGTAGTGTTAAGATCACGTAGTAATTTAGCAATACTGTAAAACAGGGTGAAAAGGAGTGTTCTTACTATGCGAAGACAGGGCAGTGTAAATTTGGTGTAACATGTAAATTCCATCACCCTTCACCATCTCCAGCTCCCCAAGTTGCACCTGTGCCTACACCAGTTCCTGCTCCACCATTATATTCTGCAGTGCAATCACCATCTGGCCCTTCCTCTCAACAATATGGACTTGTAATGGCAAGGCCTCCTCTGATGCCAGGCCCATATGTGCAAGGCCTCTATGGTCCTTTGCTGCTTTCCCCAGGTGTTCCAAGTTGGAATCCCTATCCAGTAGGTGAATTAAAACTTTATTCAGTTCCCTCAACGTTTAGTACACTTTATTAATTTTTATTTTTGAGGTTGTTAATGCACCTGGTGCAGGCACCTGTCAGTCCTGGTACTCAACCCACTGTTGGATCAAGCTCAATTTTTAGGGTAACACCATTATCTCCTTCAGCACCTGCATATACTGGATCTTATCAATCTGTACCTTCTGTTGGGCCTTCAAGTAGTATTCAGAAGGAGCAGTTATTTCCAGAGAGACCTGGCCAACCAGAATGTCAGTATTATATGAAGACAGGTGATTGTAAATATGGATCCTCCTGTAGATTTCATCATCCACCAGAAGTGATTGCACCAAAAGCAGATGTCATCCTCAGCCCTCTTCGTTTTCCTCTTCGTCCCGTAAGCATTTCATAAAATGTCCTATAAATGTGATGCTTTATACAAGATTGAATTTAAAATTTTGATCATGTTTAATACATTCTACTGGTCAGCTTGAATCAGAGTTTTCTTTGCTCAATTGCTTTTGAAACAATTGATTATGTTTCTGTGTTTATTTGGCATCTATTTGGGTTCCTTTTGTGTGTTCCAACTTGCAAATAGACATAATAAAACGTGCAAGAGTTTTCTTTTTCCGTAGAGATATTGCAGCTCTGTAGGACAGGTGACTATGTATGCCTGTGGAAAGCAGACATACAGTTTTGAACAAGTATGTAAGTTCTGCCACAACTAAGATCTTTGACCACCCGGATAACTAGAAGCTTCTAATTAATCCAAAATCCTTTAAAGGATTACATATGAGGTTATACAAAAACTAGAATCTCTTAGTTATATGTGTGGCATATGGAGCATTTAACCTGTTATTTGATTCAAAAGTTGATATGCATCTTGTGAAACTTTCACTTCTAGCGCAAACTTCTGTGTTTGGTTCAACCCCATAACTATTGATTTGAAGTATCCTTGACTTGGATTCAATAGATTGTTAACATGTCACTTGTGAAATTAAAGAACATCCTTCTGGTGTGCAATTCTCTTGTTGTTTTATGGATGTATGTGCCAGCCTTCATTGTTTGCATATTAATACTTTTACATGATGAATGAGTATATTATGTGACTTTCATGAATCATCGTGCTGATTTTGGGAAGATAAAAGATTGTTCTGTTTTACTGTTTTTGCATCTTAGAGTTTCTTGGGTTACTACTTTTCTTCTTGATTTCATAGGCGTGTTTTAATTTAGAAGAAAGTATGTAATATCTTTATCATCCATGGTGTGATCTTTCTTACATTTATTAATTTACCATTAAGGATATACTAACATTGCTGGGTTTGATTTGTGATTCATGTTTTCTAGGATTTTTATATTATGCCATCTTTGTAAACTTCAAAGTTAACCTAGATTGGGGTTTTAGATAATTTATAGATGTTGATTGAGTAGTTCTTTTGTGAAAGAGTAGCTATAATTGTTCTGTCAACTGCACAAGTTGGGGGGCTGTTATAAAGTTCCTTATGATGTTTGATGCGTTGATTTCCAAATTCAACACAGATCTCCAGGTCTTTTGGGATGAGGAATGATTGTAAGCAATACTTTTTGACCAAGTCAATTTAAGGGCTTGATGATGTGTTTTTGGATGATGGATGGATATTGATAAATTGTACATGACAACACCTAAGTTATATGTTTTAAGTTTTTTGAGCATTTTCTACCTTGGAATTTAGAATGCGCAAAAATTGAGTTAGTCAGGATGGTCATAAATGTGGCATAGGTGACTTTAGTCAGCCCAAGATACTGAAAACAGTCTTCTCCTTATTTTTGGCCATCCCTTCCAAGCTAGCTTGGTTGCAGGGTTTCTGATGGAAAGCTTAATTTTTGGTTATAATGACTGGCCGAAGAAGAACCCTAGGATTTGGAGAAAATTTTTAATCTGCATGAGCTAAGGCCTTCTTTACCATCTTTAATTGCACTCTCCAAAATGAGTGAGGTTGTTCATGATTGGAACTGTAATTCATACATTTGTAAACTCTGCTTGCTGAAAACCACAAAAGTTCAAGGAAGGAAGCTAGTTATAATCGAGTAGTTTTATTTATTTATTCATGTTCCTTATCCTCATATATTTCTATTGCTTGCGGTTGGCTGTGCTGGTCTAGGTGCATTAGCTTTCTTTCTGGATGTCATTATGCTGACTTTTTTAACAACCAGCTACTTAATATTCAGACTTGCTATCAAATGGTTACATGAATGTCTGATTATGTTTTATTCTATGGTTTCTTTTTAGTACATTAGCCGTGCAACATATATTTGTGATAGGACATAACGGTGTTATGTGCACGCTCTTTTATTTCCTCTACAAACAATTTGCAAGAGCATTGATAAAGTTGAATTAGCAAAGTAAGTTAAAGTATGGTTAAACTTTGGTTTTGTAATTTGTAGAAAGTATTATTGAACAAACAATGCTCTCCCTGGGGTCTTCTAATTGAAATACAGTTGTCAATGCTACTGATGGTTATTGTAAGCTTCATGCTTGCCTGCAACTCATAGCAGGAACTCTCCACTGAGAGAATGAACTTCTTGTGGATCTGTAATTTTTTTATCCTGCATTTGTTTGTTCTGTTGTCAATCTTTTCCTTTGCCTTAACATTTTATTTTCAAACTTGTTATATTAGCTCCAACATGAGTTCTTGTTGCTCTTGCTAGCTGTTAAAACAGTGGGCCTTATGGTTTTTTTTATTAATCATGTAAAAATTAACTTGAGTTTTTCCTCGTAAATTGTTCATATATTTATTTGTGTTTTTCTTAATGGCATCAGGGTGCACCACCTTGCACTCATTATTCACAGCATGGAGTGTGCAAGTTCGGAGCTGCTTGCAGATTTGATCATTCTATGGGAACATTAGGTTATGGTCCATCTGTGTCTTCTCTTACTGATATGCCTTTTGTACCCTTTCCTGTTGGATCTACATATGGTACTCTAGCTCCAACATCCTTATCTTCAGAGTTAGGACCAGAACTTCTTTCAGGGTCTAGCAAGGACCCTGCGCCAGCCATAACGTCATCATCAGTGAGTGCATCAAGTGAATCAGTTGGTTCAGTTTTTTCTAAAGTTGCACCCGTTCCTCATTCAAGCACACAACAGTCTAGTCGGAGTTCTGCCCCTTCTACTGGCAGTGGCAGCAGCAGTGAGGCGCACACCTCAAGCTAAGAGAAAAAGAAGCAAATCCCTTTTTTTGATCAAGTTCATGAACCAAAGCATTATTTTTTGTGCAAGTCTTCAAAAATAGGAGGCTTCATTTCTTTGTTATCATGGTTCCATGGTTCAGGTCTAGCACACAGCAGATCTGATCATCTGTGTTCATATAATCTTCATGGGGCCATCTCTTCCATCTTGAATAAGCCCACGGCCAAACCGTAAAAGGTTTAGCAAACCGAATACACCTTGCATTTGAATAACTACTGAAGAACCTGTAGTTACATTAGGGAGAACCGTGTCAACCCGTCCAATTTTTGGAGTCTGTTGCATTGTTTATGGTCTGATCTTTTCCAAAACGAAAAGTTATGACCTGCAGCATTCTTCCCTTTACATCAACTGTGTGTTCACGTCCCTCATATTTTTATTTTCAATTTGGGGACAAGTTTCCAATTCAACCTAGAAAGGAACTTGAAGGTGTTCTTATTCCCCCACTTTTTATCAGGTTTGTTGTGAAGAACAGAAGTAATTTAAGAAAAACTCCAAGGAGGCATCAAAATATGATTATATATGGGATTAGATACATAATTATGGTGTGAGAATGGAAATGCTTATATGAGAATTTACGTTTTTTACTTGAATTCCAGCTCCTCAGATTTTACCTTTTTTATTGTTTGGCAAAGCTTCTTTTAAATGTGCCTGATTTAGACGAGATCATTTGGATTTGAATATTGCTTGTGCAAGTGATTATCAGCATTTCCGAATATGTGACATGCATTTTTAGCTGTGATGTTCAGTAGGAAGTGGATGGTCTCCTATTTTTAGATTAATAGGGAATCATCTCTCCTTCATTTTCTTCAACCTAGCAAGTCTTTCCTCTCACTCCACCATTTTAAACCCCTGTTCTCAAACAAATTTCCTCTGATATGGCCAAGTTTTGTGCTGCCATTATTTTCCCCTTTGGTTCTGATAATAATGCTACTTTTCTGCACCATGTTAGCCATTTTTTAATTTGAAAATAGGGAATTCAAACCGTCCTTTTTGAGATTAGTTTATTCATCATCGTTGAGTCAAATGCACGGATCAAAGACTGGGTCAAAGACTGTGGGCGAACCTTGTTAGTCACTTTCACAGCCCTTTAGGCTCTAAATTCTTTGCGCAATAAGAAAAAGGGGAAAAGAAAAGAAAAGGTTTCATTTAACTTTTCTCTTCAGGGGAAGCAGCGGCGAGTGCATGCCTAGGCTGATAATATAACAAAAACTAATTGCAAGTACTACACCTATGGTCAGTTGTGCTGAAAGTTGAAAACAAACAAACAGGTCCACTTTCCCATTAAGATATATTTTCCAGCAATTAGCAAAAGTAATCCTTTGTAAATGTTCAAAGACGAGGTGTTATGTTGTTTTAGACTGTCTAGGGTATACTTTTGACAGTAATATTTAATTGTCAATCTTCTATCTTAAACACATTTTAAGCTGTTTGGTATTATAATATAACTGTGCCTATAAATGCATTTAAAAAGAGATCAATATTTGCTTGCTGTGATCAAGTTTTTTATCATGAGCTCATCAATCTACTATATTATTCGGATTTGGAAGTGAGTGTAGAATTCAAATGTGTTTAACACGAGTATGTATTTTTTTTAAAAAAATTATATATATATATATATATTTAAGGGGCCAGATCTCTATTCCCATGTTTTTCGAATATATGTTGGACATATGACATTTGTGGTTCTAAACTAGGTGCTTGGTATTTCTCTCCCTCGCTCCCATAATGTTGGGAGTGTGGATTCATGGATTTTATAAAAAAAATATACACTCAAAAAGTTTGAGTTTTGAACTTTATAATGATAAAGTAAGAAAGCATGGAAATGCAAAAAAATCTGAAAGGTGATATTCAACCATTAATCATAATGTAAAAAGTAAGGTAACAGCTGTAAAGATTAATGGTGAATGAAACCATCTTGAAGACCTAGGTGTTTCCATGCATTTTGTGTAAGGGCTAGGGTTGTTGAGAAAATTTGTAGAGCAAGTAGCCGCAAAGGTGCAGACAATCATGCAGTCCATATTCATTGATTTCTACTCAAAGTGGAGCTTCATCATGTTCTGATTGAAAAACTTGCTTAAGCTGCTTTTCAAATATAACTTTCATTCAATTTGGCTCTTAATTTCTACCTCAAATGAGCAAAAAGTTTAATTACAGTGAATAAGAGAAAACCTGAAAACGACACTATATAATAACAAATTGCATGCGGGTGGGAAAGAGCACAATACACTTCCCTGATGATCATAGACGATAGACTCTGATAAAACTGATCAGAAGAGTGAATACATAAAGTCGACTGTATCACCAAAAGGAGGCACTGAAGGAGAGCAAGTAACTGAAGTAGTGGCTTGTGGAATCATGCTGTAGCAGCTAGGATTGTCATTGTAGGGATAAGAAGCTCCCATGCACCCATCCTCAACCATCAATGGAGGGTTGATTATAGCTGAGAGTTCATTGGAGTTCATTTCCCATAATTGCTGGTCACTCCAAAAACCCTGACTGAGTACTTCATCAAAACCCGGGAATTCAATGTTATTAGACTTTGGGCAAGTTTGTTGTATCTGGAGGAAGAACATAATTATCAGAATGTGATTGGTTTTCATGGGAGTTTCGGTTCATGGAGCAGAAGTTTGAAACATGTGAGCTGGTTGGAGTGGAAGGAGGCTTCAAGCAATTATCAGGAACAATGCAGGCCAAGTAACCTGAGTTACTATCACAGAAAAAGAAACTATTATATATCATCAACTGATAATGATGGGTCATTATTATTAGGTTGGATGGGAGTTTTACTGTGGGAAATGTCAGGCTGAGGTTCACTGTTATGAATATTGGTTGCTTGCTTTGGTAAAAAGGCATGGACATCAAAGGGAGACAGAAGAGAATGGAAAGTAGTAGTGTTGTCAGAGTATATGAAGTTTGTTCTTGCTTGGGTTCCTTTCATGGAAAGTGCAGCTCTATCATAAGCAAGAGCAGCTTCCTGAGCTGTATCAAAGTTGCCAAGCCAGTACCTTGTTGTTTGGTCCTTGATTTCAGCAGCATATCTACCCCAAGGCCGCCGCCTCACTCCATGAAGCCTCCTGGGCTGATCGGCCTGCTTTCTTCTTCCTGATCTCCTGTTACAAGACTGAGATATTGGGGATGTGTTCCTTTCAAGCAGAGCAAAACCTGCTTGAATTTGAACAGGTTCATATCCAAAAGATTTATCCAAGGTTTTGATGTGGACATCTCTATAAATATAGCAGTGGAGTTTCTTTAAAGGAAAATGCTGCTGCTCAAGGAAAGGCATAGGAGAGGCTGGAAATGTAGAGATCTATAGGAGAAAGGGGAGATAGTTTTTTGGAATCTTAAGTGTGAGGAAATAAGTCAAGTAGAGAAGTCTTTTAAAGAGAGTGATTTGAACTCATTCGTGATATCGTTTTATGATTAAATCGTTATATATTTAATTAAAATGATACTTTTGATACAATGAAAATTATTCTCACCATGCATCATATGCATTATGTCTTTCTTTCAAATTTATTAATTATTGTCTAAAATCTTCTTAAATTAAACTGATATCTGTTGAAAACACATAAACTTTACCTCTAAGGTATTTTAGTTATAATAAGGATTATCATTTCTAATGATGCAAATAATAAATCAAATCCATTTAAGCTATTAGACTTCGTTTGGATTTATATTTGATACATTATTAATATATAAATTTTAAATACTGTCAGTGAATTAGATAATATCACTTTATTAATAAAATGAATTGGATGTTGAAATTTCATTCATTAATAAGTAAATTTCTACAAATGCTTTGCCATTAACCAAATTGAAAAATGGACCAAATAAAATTGTACTATTTTCATTTCTTTTAAGAATGACAATGGATGTAGATTAATGGAATTAGAATCTATGACCCTTCACTCTTCCACTAAAGATTTGCAAGAAACAAATGTAAATTTGGGATTTGTTTCCTATCTATATATAATAATTCGTGTATATGTATCATATAAAATATTAATAATTTATGAATTTGTATCGTATTTTATATGAAAATTACGTATCACAATTCATGTCGACACAAAAATATAAAATATATTTTTTTATTTTATTAAATTTATTTATAATTTTTTTTAAAATTTTTTATTCGTAATATTTTTATATCATGTCACCTTATTATGTTTAAAATTATCATATTTATTCTTCTTTTAGTAGTGCAATGGCAATTTAGAATATGAGATCATAATATTTGATCACATGTAAACCAATATACATAGAAGAAGAAAAGATTGGCAAAAAATTTTTCTCTCTTTTCGGACAAGAAAATCCACGTCTTATCCTTACAATTGAAACTAATTATTAGTTTTTCTTTCCTTTTTTTTTTCCTTGATTTTGAGATTTTGCAAATGAGTGGTAAAATCTAAATTGCATGTATGTTTATGTTTATGTGGTTGGTCCAAGAGAAAACATTGTTTTTGCTCGTATTCTGGTTAGACAAAATGCCACATGCAAAAAAAAAAAAAAAAAAAAACCAAGAAAATGGATTTTTTTTCTTATATTTTCCATGAAAATGAAAGTTCTTATTACGCCTTACTTTGCATGAAAAGTTACTTATGGATGTTACCAGTTGAAGAAAAAAAAAGATAGATCCGATAATTCAAACAAAATATAATGATATAATATAAAAATAAAACAAATAAAAATATAAAAATAATATAATTTAAAATTTTAATAAAGATTATAAATAAATTTAATAAAATTTAAAAAATATATTTTATAATTTTATATTGATATGAATTATAATATATAATTTTTATATAAAATATGATATAAATATATAAATTTTTAATATTTTATATAATATAAATATATAAATTATCACGTATATAAAAAACTTAATCAAAAAGGAAAAGCGACTATTCATGTGACAAAGTCTCTCAATATTATTTTTACTTGTCAGTTTCTTAAAGTAGATTGATTTTGTCTTAAATTGTGGGGCCCTCACTCACTTTATCTCAAGCCTTTGCCAGGTTGATTACCTTTTCTTTGACGTTTTCTTGGCCTTTGGATTTGGGGGTCAGACTGAGAATTACGCACATTCTCCAAAAACACCCACTTTTATTTTCTAGTGTTAAAGGTTACCTGGAATTTAGGCGAAAAAATGAGAGAGGCTTTCAATGGGCTTTGACTTGAAAATTTTAGTAACAAGCAATCTATAAAGAGTTGGATTTTTTCATGAAAATTGTCCTATTTTTTGTGACATTTTTTTTAGACATTTTTGGTTTAGGCTCCTTTGGGCTAGTCAAGCAGTCAACACAGTGCTTCCTTCAAATTGTCGCCACCTCTCCCGTTTGTTACCTTTTTTCCTCCCCTGGGCTCTTCCAAGTTTTGGATTTTGGGTAAAGTATTAAGGCCCAACTTCCCAAGTTGGATCATTGTATGCATTTTATAGGAAGACCATTTGTTTTTTTTTGGTTCACATGCGTAAAAACTTGTAAGAGAAACGTCAAAAGTGCAATGAGTAAATCATACAGGGTAAGATATAGTTTATGACAGAGGAGCCTCTGGAAAATGCTACTTGTCTTTGCTCTTCAGCCTTCTATCAGTTACTCACTTCACTCATGTCTCAAGACTTTGAAGCTTTTCATTCATTTTTGTTCAGTTACATGATCATTACTATTATATTTCAGCTCAGAAAACCATGTCTGTAACTCCATGAATCTTCACTGACTTTCATCATTGATTATACAGTTATGTTCTTGTTAAAATCCCGGAGGGTCTTCTTTTGTGTTGATATTTGTGCACGTTGTAATGAGTAATTCAAATTGCAATGGGTCAGGTTTTGTTGTCACTGTGTTGAATATGGTATATCAGTGATGAGTGGATGTTCGGAAAATTAACTTTGCTTGAAAAGGATGAAAAAGAAAGGGATTTTAGTAGGGTAATGAAAAATCTTTTTGGACCTGTCCTCCCCTGAATCGTCGCTGATCTTAGTTAGACATAGAGGGGACAAGTTATCTTGTGGGGGGCAAAGTAGCTAGGAATCATTTGATGTTATGATTGGTTGTATATGATACCTGTTTTAGACAGTCTACTGATGATATAAGAGGAAACTGAATTTGCTGTTCAAAAAAAGAGCAGCAGGAAGTACAATTGATTAGCAATTCAGAACATTGATTTCAAAGTCAAAAAAAAATTTTTAATAAAAGCTTTGCCAATATAGTGATTCCATAGTGTGATTATAGTGTATTTGGTCTAAGATGCAGAATCAACAGTTTTGTGTTTTTGGCTGAAGATTGAGACGGTTATGGCAGCATTTACTTTCAAAATCATTATATCTGAAAACCGCATCTAATCTACTAGTTATTATCAAATTTGATCCGAAAGTTTTACGGTTTTGTTTCACAAAAAATGCCTCATAAGTATAAGTGTAAGTCTCTACTTTTATATCATAGCAAATCCTCCAAATATCTTGTGTGGGATTGGAGTGTTACATTATATCCAATCAATGCTTTCATTATCAATCTGTTACTACTATATATTAGAGAATTAGCTCAAGTTCTGCTTATTTACCTTTACCTTTCACTCACAGGAAGAAAAGCATCTTTTCTTCTTTCACCTAAAACTGCATAATTGATCAATGATGTATCATGAAGTGGATCTGAAGGATCTGAGCTCATGTTCCCAAGCTTACAAATGAAATGAAAGGTGGGGGGGAAGGTTTGTCATAATCATTGGCCTTATCACTTTGATCTTCTAGCATCATAATCGTTTTTAGCAATATGAGACGGGCAGGGGCATATAAGCATCATTCAGTTCACCTTTATTTGCTAGGGTCCCTCTGGTGCAGGCCTTTCAGACTGAAGGAATTTAACATTCTTCTCGGGCACTGATCTAAATGAAAAGTAGAGTTGTATGGCATGAATAGCTTTGAAAAATGTATAGACATGACATAAATGAAAACATTTACTTACTATTCATGATTTAGTTCTTCCTTATTCAGTCAGTGAGAATTTTTGGTCCCTTTTTTGGAACTTTGACCTTTCTGATCAGCTTCTTAATGTTCCTATATGAGTATATCCAACGTTTGACACTGTCATGTTTTTCCTTTTATTGGTTCAAAGAGCTTAATTACCTGCTGTTGGCAAGTGCTTCTCTTACAGATGCTGGAGCAAGGGGAAGAAACTGTTGCAAATGTACTATAGCCAGGAGCTTTTATAGGCATTGATGCCCAAAACAAAGACCAAGCTGGCAGAGTGTTCAAGACATTATAATGAGATTTCAATCTACAATACGGAAGCTATCTCTTGTTGCTGATTATGATCACTATGCAGAGTTTCCTACATAAAATTCTATGAATCTATTGGTTGGTCGGTTTCATGTTTTTAGCTTGTATTGATTCCTATCATGATTCTGGTAATTGACTTGTGTAGTAAACCATATCGTCCTAATCTCACATCGTGATATTCTGAAGATCGTCATAATATATATTAATAATAGCCCTAATACACTTTATAAGTTGGGTGCAGATCTTTACTTAAAGGAAAAAATTTCAGAAGAAAAGTTCATAGATGCTTGATATATTAATATTACGGTTTTTGTTATGCATCGTTTGAAGAATCAAATCCATAATTACATTTCCATTACTTTACAGCAGCTTGACCACCCCCATCCCCACCCCCCATTCTCTATCTCTCATTACCTTATAAACAGTTCAAGATGTTTTTTTGTAAGCCTAAGCTTGGCCAAGCTTAACAAATGCCATTGGAATCCTCTCTTTATTTTGAAGCAAATAGCTCACTGCCAAGAGTAATTTTTGCAGAACCCTCACCCATGACTGTAGTCAGTTCCATCTCTTTTTCATGGATCCGTTCTAGCTCAACCACAACCTTGTTCATATTCGGCCGCCTCTTTCCAGGAAAACTCATGCATTTTAGTGTCAGCCTGATCAAATCCCTGAAGCCATCCATAGTGAAGCTTCCAACTAGCCGACGGTCCACAAATTCATTGGAATTCAGCCGTGATTGTACCTTCAATAAGTCAGTGAAAGCAGTCGGACAGAAGTTTCATGCATGAGGTATGAATGCTTAAAAGTAAGAGTAAACAAAAGCCATTAGGACCAAATATGAGATAACCTCTGGTTAACTCCTTAATGGATGATAAAAACTAGTTAGATCTGGCAATTTTAAATACGATACGAAAATGATATAAAAAAGACACCAAACTGACATGGTTTAAAATTTTATCCAAAACCATATATGGGTTTGATGAAAACGAAATATGTGTGTTGTGTTTGGCTTATCTAACACGAATTGTGACATTGTAATTTTTCGTGTTTTATATGAACTAAACATGAAATACACATACATGGATACACAAATTGTCTGTTCTAAAACTAGTCCAGCATTTGAAGGAACTAGAAAGCAGCGTCCTTCAAATTCATAAACAAAGTAGAGCCCACCAAATCTCTCCAAAGATCTGTTAGTGTGAATCCAAATGAATGAAAGTTCTTCCAGTAAACCAAGGGACTAGTGTGGTTACCCATTGAATTAAGCTCTCATTGGATCCTAGGTAATTGATAAGCACAGCCTCCTCCTGTCCAGTTATGAGCTCCAAAAGAAACACCCCAAAGCTGTAGACATCATTCATTTCTGTGAAGGTCCCTGATGCTTCCACCCTGGACATTGATGCACAGGATAAACTAAGTAAAGGTGAGGGCTATTGTTTCCTCAACAGTAACAAAAATGCCATCAGAAGAAATCAATTTACTCTGGATCTCGGAAAACATTGATGCTAGACGTGTAAGATGGACATGCTTCTTCTATCTTTTCAAGTAACATTGAGACCCCTGCATCTGCAACCTTAGCAATGAAGTCCTCATCAACCAAGACATTGGCTGTTTTGAAGTTCTTGTGTATCAAGGGAGGTTTCAGGCCATGCAAATGGCTTAAACCTGCATTCAATAAACATAATTCCCTCAATTTGAAACTTGTATTATTTTGGCATTCCTTCATCAGTTTCTTTTAGATTCACCTCTAGCTGCCCCCAGAGCTATTGATATCCTCTGCTTGAACTCTAGTCTAGTTGGAGCCTGTCTTCTGGTATCTGTCAAACAACAGATGGATGTGAACTCTTGCATTGATGATCATAAAAAATCTATGTTGTTAATGATTCATACCATATAGATGATTGCAAATGCTGCCGCTAGGTAGATATTCATAGACCAACATTTGAGATCCATTCTCTTGGCAGTAGCCTAGAAGAGTAACCAAATTTCGATGTCGAATCTCTGACAAATACATTACCTGTTTGACACTCTAAGTGTTGACATAATGAACCAAGTGATAAAGTTAAAGCATTTGAGAGAGGGTGAGAGGATTTCCGATTTGAAATGCACTTGACACAGATATCTATCAGACATAAACTATGTAAGTCAGAACTGGTTATACCCCTGCAACAAACTCCTGTCGAGGAGCACCGGGATGTCTTTTGATAGCCACAACAATGTCATGAATCCAACCCTTATATACCGGACCGAAACTTCCACATCCAATGAGATTACTGTCAGCAAATTGTTTGGTTGCTTGTTCCAACTCTTCCAGTATGAACTGCCTTGCTCCTTGAGGTCCAAATAAAGACTGGCCAGCGGCCGAACTGGGTCCAGCTCCTCTATTCCAATCCACTGCAATGTTGGAGCTGTAGTTAGTAAGTATCAACTCAAAAACTTTAGCATGAATTGCTATACTAATTTTTTTTTCCGAGTTTGCTGCAATGAAACCTTACTTAATGCAGAAGGATCGGAGGAGCCTGTCTCTGAAGTTCTACTGAAAAGGTTCTTACATGACTTGTAAAACCAAAAGAACCCCATGACGACAGCCACAAAGACAAGCGCCCCTGCAGCTTCTCCGACTATAGTTGCAATCTTTGACATCTACTGTACTTGACTTGATCATTGAATCTGTAAGGCTGAAGAACCATAGAATTATAAATGTAGAATAACACAAATAATCCAATTATAGACTTGTCAAACTGAAGACTATCTTTCAGATTTAGGAATTCAACATTCATTACCTGCAACAGCAACCAGAGATCAAGTGGTCCCGATGACTGAACTTCCTTTATTTACATAAGCATTTGAGCATTGCCTCCTAGTACTTTTGGAGCCGACAAGTATTAAGAAAGCAAATTAGCTGATCTTAAGTAAAAACTTGGGAAACTGATGTTTGGTAAGGTTCAACGCTGCTGAAATATGAATAAGAGACCATAATACAACTTATTTGCTTGCCAGAGTACCCCACATTGCCGTCCAATGTTAAGCATCTCATCAAAGTGACAATGTAGACACCATGTCACTGAAGACTATCCTATCCTTAAAAACCCTTTACTTTTTCCTATTTGCTTTTGTGGGAGTGGAAGGTGATCCTGACAACAAATATAAAAGCTCAAACATGAAGTTATTGCCCTATACACTTAATGCTGATAGACTTATTGTTGGTATATATTTGGCATTGATTCTTATAGCGCTCAGACTCTATGGCTCAAACCTAGTGCAAAGAGCTGAACCAATAGTGTTTGAGTAAAATTAATGCCCATGTGGGGTGTTAAATGTTAAAATAAACTGTAAATATTTTGATTTTACAAAGTGGATGTGGACAGGTAAGAAAGTCACTATAACTAGACAGGCACAGGAAGACATAATTATTGAAGGGGGATCAAAAGAAAAAAAGGTAGTTATCAGTCTATCAAATTCAAGTCTCTTCCCTGAATTAACTCTTAACTTTCTCTTTTCTGTCATCTGATCTGGAAAGGAAAGAGGGGATACCTGTTTTAGTAGAGATAGATGGGCCTCTTTCATAGATGGGGCCATTTACATTTGCAGAAGCAAGACATTAGCACAGCTAGTATAACAGGCTCTCAGTTTCCATGCCTGGATATTCTCTTGATTTTATTTCTTAAGACTGAACATTAGCAACTGTGGCAAAACCAGTTAATCTGATTGTCCCTCTCTCTCTGACTGCATTTTTATGTATTTATTTTCTCGTGCATATGGTTGAGCCATGATCAAAAGGTGGGGAAGGTTTTGAGCTGTATAAGGCTCTCTCTCTTATTTATTTATTTTGTTCTCTTTCATTTATTTGTTGTGTCTTGTGTTAGGTTGGAAAGCATATGCAGATAGGTAGAATGAAATTGTCTGTTTCTGTAGGTTCTTAAGCTGAGTACAGTAGGCCAATGTCAGTTATAAACTATGGAGAAAATCACAGAGGGAAGTTTTGCTAGCAATGGTAGATTTTCTCATACAAAGATTGATTTGCATTCTTTTAACTTCATGCATGGTCCTTTTTCTTTTGCTATGAACTCTTTTCCTTGTTTTCTTTACTATAATGAACCCTAACAGATCAAAAGGCGATCAAGATTAAAAAAAATGAGATCTCCGAACATTTGACTAAATGATTAATGCATAACATTTTTCTCATGAGCAGTGAACATTATATATATATATATATATATATATATATATATGTCTTGGATGTCAATAAGATCTTCAACTATGGGACCATTTTAGGTATGGTTCTTTAATATAGCTACATGATGAATAAGTCAAGACCAACAATATTGGATTCTGTTTCATGTGGTCCTTAAATTGTCATGGTAAACCATGCATGACGTAAGTATTCTCTCAGTGTATATGGTCTTTGATTCAGTTGTAACGTTTCTTTTCATTTCTTGTCAAGGAAGAAAAAAAAAATCCTTCAGATTCAAGATTGAATTTGAATTAAGAAGATAACAGTTCGAATCTAATCTTTTTAAATAAATATAATATTATAACTTTTCAAAATTCTATTCAAATTTAAATTAATTTTTTTTTGAAATTAATCCGATCTAAATTAAATTCTATCAGTTCGATTTTGTACAGTTTATTATTTTTTAAAATTTTATTTTTGATAATTTTTAATATATTTAAATAATTTTAAAAATATCATAATACTATAAATTTAAAAATATAATTTTTTTTTAAAATATTATTATTACTTAACAATTAATCATATAGATACGATCATTCGTATATTTATTTTATATTAAAATTATATAAAATATAAAAATTAACATATTATTATAAACACAACATTAAAATAAAAATAGATTTTTTTCCGTTGTTGATTGAAGACAAGTGGAAATCATTTTCCAAGGTACTATTGTTAATAAATGAATTTATGTATCATATAAAGGTTTTAAAAACCAAATATTTCCTTGATCTTCACTAGAAGCTAAAAGAAAAACAAATTCTCTTATGAATTGTCTGCATTTTATAACAAAATCCAATGGGACTTGGATTTGCCTTTAAATGATGGAGCTTTCAATCCACCTCACCTTGATAAGAGTATTTTTTATAGACATGATAATTTAAAATATGATATAATAATAAACATGAATACGATATAAAAATAAAATATGAAAATATATGATTTAAAATTATAATAATAATTATATATAAATTTAATAAAATAAAAAAAATTATATTTATCGATATAAATTATAATACATAATTTTTATATATAACATAACACAAATATATAAATTTTAATATTTTACGCTATATAAATATACAAATTGCTAAACCTAATCTTTTCCTTCCAAACTTTCTACAATTTTTATTGCTACATCACATCATTTCATCTCAACATGTTTCACCAAAAATACCATTCTCAATATTTTATAACATCTATTAAAAAATATTAATAAAAAAATAATTTTCAAATTCATAATTTAATTCAAATAATTAATTCATTACTTTGATTAGGGGATTTTCAATTGATTTAGAATTTATGTCTTATGTCTTGCAATTTTTTTTAAATAATAATAATAATAACATCAAAATTCAATTGATAGATGTTTTTATTTTTTTTAACTGTTTTATTTTTTATTATTTAAAATATGTACCAAAGAAAACTAACAGACCAATTTGTTTACAAAAATAATTTGAGTTGGAGTGACAATCAATCTTTCAATGAATTGGTTAGGTCATTTGGCTGTTAAGAAAAAAGCAAATGGCAACTACTATTCTTTGTGTTATTCATTATCTCTTCTATTTAGAGTTGCTCTTCTTTAATTATCATTAAAAAAAATAATTCGTCAATTGTCATATAATTTATTAATAAAATATTAAAATTTTAATTTTTAATCGGAGTTTAAAATCCGATAATTTCAAATAAAAAGAAAAATAATTTATTTAATTTTTTTCTTAGATATAAATTCATAGTAAATCTCTCAATTATTTAAATTAAAATATATTTATTTAATTTTTTTTCTTAGATATAAATTCATAGTAAATCTCTTAATTATTTTTACTAATCAAAATTTATTTCAATCATAATTATTTTTCTTTCAAGAAGGTTTTTTTTTTTTTTAGACTTTGTCAGACAAATATATTTATAAATTTATTAAACTCATTAAAATACTACAAAATAGAAACTTAGGGGCAAATAGCAGTATTTCAGAAACTTATGGGCAAAATTTATATAGCTAAAAAAGTTAAAAGACTCTCTTGCAAAATCTTCTTTAAAAAAGATATATGGCAAAAGGAAGCGCTTTTCTCAACTAAAGCAATCGTTTTTACACAGATCAGGGAAACTGAGGAGCTAGGGTTTTGGAGCTTAATCTGTAGGGTCTTTTATCCTTAGAGTTAGAAATTTACATCGAAAATCGAACTGGTGCGAGTCGATTCGGACTGCCAGATCGGTGCGACTCGGCCATGTACAGTGGATCCAGTGATGGTGAGAGCCAGGAGGCTGCCACGCAACGGAAGATCACGCCTGCTTCGTCGATGCTGTGGGTCCGAAATCTTCGCCGCTACATCGGTTCCGGTGCCGGACTCGGATCCGAAGCACTAATGGGTCCGTTTCTCTTCTCTCTCCCCTCCATTTCTTTATAACCTATCCAGAATTCTATTCTTTTATTATTTTTATTCTTACATTTCAAAATCTACATTCAAAGTTTCTATCTTTTGGTGAAATGTATAGTTATGGTGTATAAAGTATTTGATATTTTGCGTAATTGTGATTAATTTGGGTTAAGACTATAATTTTGAGTGTCTTTCTTACTATAATGTGTTTAATTGGTGCTTAAAATGTTATAATTTTGCATACTTGGTTAGGCCTGGTGGTTAGTCTGAGAAGTAATAAACCGGTTAGCTAGGTTATTTTGAGTCTGAATTGATAGGCAAAGATAAAGAATGAATGGGATTTGAATTTCAGTTATAGTTCTTGATTCAAGCTTATGTCTTTGGTAAAGATTATGGGATTAGGTCTTTTCTTGTTACAAGCTTTGTAGTAGGGCAATCTTACTTGCTAATACTTCAATTGCTATATGCATTGGTCTCTGATGCTTGCCTGCGGACATGTTTGCGTTTATGGTTGAAATGTGGTTGTAATAATTTTATTTTACTGTTGAAGTCTATGTTTGTTTCCTCATTAGCAATTCTGATATTGTATCGTTGTTTCTAACCTTTGTAGAGCTTGAGACAAAGAGGATCTTGCTTGATATATTCAAAGATAAGCAGCAGAAAAGTGCTGAAGCTGGTACAATACCAAGTTTCTATAAGAAGGCATGTACTAAAATTATCTGTTCTTTTTATTGTTCTTCAATTCCCAATTATCACGAACTCATTATTCGTTTTCTTTATTTCTGTTTTCTTTTGGTTCAGAAGCCTGAAGAAGGATCCATCAGTCATAGGGTTCAGAGGCTAGCAAAATATCGATTCTTAAAGGTAGAATTGGTTTTTTCTTTGACGGTTTGTTTTAGTTCCTAACCATCTAGTGGTCCAATTTAATCATTGCTCACATTCTTATTTCTTTATTGCAGAAGCAATCTGATCTTTTGCTAAATGCTGATGATCTGGATGCCATGTGGGTTTGCTTGAGAGAAAATTGTGTGATTGATGATGCCACTGGTGCTGAAAAGGTCTATGTTCTCAGTTATCATAATCTCCTCCAGTTCAATGAATTGCCATAGGGAATTGGAAATGCTGAGCTACTTTTACTTTTGTTCACAGTTGTGACATTATCCTTGTCTCGGCTGTCTGTGTTCACAGCCTGACTCATATTTTGGACTTGCAGATGAACTATGAAGATTTTTGCCACATTGCCACCGTATGTACAGAACAAATAGGTCCAAAATGTAGACGCTTCTTCAGCCCATCAAACTTTATGAAGTTTGAGAAAGATGAGTCAGGAAGAATAGCTATTTTGCCCTTCTATCTTTATGTGATGCGCACAGTGAGTATTTATTTCTTTAATATTTAAAAATGTTACTAATTTTTATCATACTTTCCAATCTTTCTTAACTATTTGCAAGTCTTAGGATCTGTCTCCTATGGATTGTTGCTTTGTTAACTAAATATGTCAGCCCTAAAATATTGATGTTCGAATAAACCTAGATATCATCTGTTTTTGCTTTTTAATTTATTCTTATTGAGGAAGTTGTTCCTTGACTGTTGCTTATTGTTCACTGTTCTTCAGGTTTCTCTTACACAGGCCAGAATAGATATGAGTGAGCTTGATGAGGATTCAGATGGTTTCTTGCAACCTCATGTAAGGATTTAATGATCTTTTTACCGTGTGATCTATGTTCGGATTGACTGCCACTCCAACATCAGGTTGTTTTTCAGCATTTCTCATGTGTGAGAACTATAATTACTTTGCTATTGTACAGGAAATGGAGGCCTATATTCGTGGTCTTATTCCTAACCTGGCACAACTACGGGATATGCCTGAAGCCTTTGTTCAAATGTACTGTCGCATAGCTGCACACAAGTTCTTTTTCTTTTGCGATCCTCATAGACGAGGTCTGCATGACCAAAATTTGCTTACCAACATAGAGTTGATAACTTATCAACTATAACTAGTTTTAGTGCTTCCATTACACTGTTAAAATAGTTAACATTTAGTATTTCTTGCAGGAAAAGCCTGCATAAAAAAGGTGCTGCTTAGCAACTGTCTCCAGGAATTAATGGAACTACATCAGGTACTACATTATTGATTAATTTGTCTCGATGATATACTGTCCTTTTTTACTTAGGTTTGACAAATATATTTCTTATTTTGACTTTTTGCTTTTCCCTCTTTAAACTTCTGTTTAGGAAAGTGAGGAAGAAGTCACTGACACTGAGCAAGCTGAAAATTGGTTTTCCTTGACATCTGCACAACGCATATGTGGTGAGTACTTTGGACACTTTCAGTTTTGGTATAAATTGTCCTCTATCTTTATTATTTTAGTTTTTCTTCTCTTTTGAACATATACAACAACCTCTAATGGTATAGTGGATCATAAACTGCAACTTCTTACTCCTCCCATTCTTTGAAATAAAGTTTCTTTTTCGCTGTTTGGAAACTGCTCAAGCATGAAATAATTAATAATATATGAGAGGAAAGTACTATGTAATAATTTACTAACTGCATATTGATTCTTCTGTAGATATGTTTCTTGCCCTTGATAAAGATATGAATGGAACACTGAGTAAGCAGGAGCTTAAAGAATATGCAGATGGAACTCTAACTGAAATTTTCATCGAAAGAGGTAGGATATAACGCTATTGTTTATTTTTCGAAGTATACCAGGATTTCTTATGTTTGATTCTAATGCATAGTTGTTACTTTAAAAGCTGCCATGTGAAACAAAAATTAATTGAACTTCGGGATGTTCAGTAAGCCCATCATATATCATCTTTAGTCAGAAGCCTCATTGAGTTTCAATCTTTCTGGTGTCATTTAGAAGTTGTATCCTTTCTGTTATTCTAGATTTCGTTTTGAATTTTCCTACTCATTTTTTAAATTTCTTATGTTTCCAATAGTATTTGATGAGCATGTCCGCCGTGGCAAAACTGGTGCCAGCAATAATCGAGAGATGGATTTTGAAAGTTTTCTTGACTTTGTTCTGGCCCTTGAGAACAAAGACACTCCAGAAGGATTAACATATTTATTTCGTTGTCTCGATCTTCATGGTAGGGGATTCCTCACGACAGCAGATATTCATTCTCTTTTCAGGTGATTCTCTTTTAACTATTTTGGTTCCAGTCTTTATTATGGGCTTTGAGCTGTTGATATGAGCTTGAGTTTTATTTCCTCTCCTGAGCTATCAAACTTATCTTGAAACATGGAAGTGAAGAAGGGGACCATCAAAGAGATGAGATGTTTCCTGATACAATCTTCCTACAGAAAATTCTGTAATTTCCTGCTTGCAGTACTTGAGCAAGTTTCTGCAAGTCTCATATCTCAAGAGACATGTATGATAAACCATAGATTAGACTTGGAATCCAATTCTGATCTTTACTACGAGTTCTCATTGACCTAGGATTACTGATTTATTTTAACATTTTCCACCTTTATAAGAATTACATCAGCTGAAAGAATTTCTCATTCTAATCTTGACACAGAGATGTACACCAGAAATGGATTGAAGGGGGCAACTATGAATTGTGTATAGAAGATGTGAGGGATGAAATATGGGATATGGTCAAGCCAGTTGATCCACTGAGCATTACACTGGCTGACCTCCTAGCTTGTAAACAGGGTGGTACTGTGGCCAGCATGCTCATAGATGTGCGGGGATTTTGGGCTCATGACAATAGGGAAAATCTTCTCCAAGAAGAAGAAGAGCCAGAGGAAGAATGATGATTGCATGTCTGATCAAAATGCTGCTTATACTAACAAAAACTTGTTTGTGAAAGGCACCCGTAGTTCTTGCAAGATGTGTTATTTTGTTGCATTGCTGCCTATTCCAAGATGTATGATCTTAAAGTGTACTAAAAAGCTGATGAAATTCGATTCAAATGCTTACCTGAATCTGTTGGCTGGCACCAATCTCTGACAAACGTTATTCAAATAGACAAACCTTCTCATCTGCTCTCCAGCTTCTTCGTTGTCAACTTCAAGCAAAATGATTGTACTGAGCATTTTTTTTTTCTCAGGTAAATCATATATTCAGAAACTTGAGTAATCCCTCACTCACCAAGCCAAGTCTTGTTACATGATTGCTTAGGCAAGTGATAGCGTAGCCATCATCAGAACATTGTGAATACCACCACTTGGGAAGTTCAAACGAAGGCCCATGCTAGACAACTGTCTACTTTAGAAAGCTCTGACGGAACTGATCTCTTAAGCCCCAATTTTGCTTGAAAAAATGACTTGCATGAAAATTATGTATGCCATGCATAGATGTCTTCAAGTAGAATTTTGACTTTTTTTTTAAAGGTTATGGTTCGAATAAAACGAGTACAATGTACATATATGATCATGGCATTAAAATATGCGCACAACAAATTCTAAGGCAAATCAAACATCCATTTGCATTGTTTGAAAGAGAGACAGGCTAAAACTCTTCAGCAGCAGCAGCAGCAGCAGCAGGCTCCCCTCATTTGATCTGCCATCGTCAATTGACTCGAACATAATGCAGGTATGCAGTTAGGTTCCAACTGCAACCTTACTCGTAGTTCCTCACAGAATCCCCCCGAGATCAAAGCAATGCTATAGCTCTTTGAAATAGAAGCAAGGTATTACATCCGAGTAAGCATGTGACAAGTGGTTGATATGCATATGTACAAAGCAAATTACCAACAGAATGCGAATCACCATGCTTAGTACAGCAGAACAGGCTCAATTCCAGGCAGGTTGAACAATTGTTTATTCAAAGCGTTCCTCATACCACGCATATTATAGGGCGAATAGTTATGCGGATGACCTTAGATTCATTTTGACACTACATTGAAAGGTTTCCTAGGAGTGGGTGTCGGTTCTCCATGTATTGCAACCTTTGTTTGAGCTGGAAAACTTCAACCTGCATTGCAATATTAGGTGAATTGCAGCATACACGGAAAAAGAGATGCGAGATGCAATATTGATGAAGAAACTAATGAGCTTTCATATATTGGCCAAAAACTATGAATTGAATTGATGCTCATCAGGTTTGACAAACGCATGCATCCAAGCATACATGCCAACACACAACCCTTGTTAAGACTAACTAAAGCCGCAATCACAGCGCATTTATCTTTATTTCATTCCCCATTTATATAAAAGAATTTGGTTCAAAGCCACACCTCTAGTTGGAATGCTCTGGCCCTCTCTCCTGTAAGGACTCCTCTGGTTGAGTGCAGCTCCTAAACTAAATTTAGAATCAGGCACTCTTCAAAAATGCTTTACAATCCCAAATGCACAAGGCAACAAAACCAATACCTTTTGAGTATCATCAAAAACAGCCTTAAGGAAAGCCACATCATGTTCAAGTCTTACATCGTCTGAGTGTACCATGTTAGATAAGCTGTTGGCCTCTTCTTGTGCGAGCTCTATACCAGCTAGTTTCTCTTTTAGCAATTCCATCTCCTTCATTGTGTCTGCAAATCTTTTCTCCATCTCCTCTTTACTCTTGAGAGCAGAAGCTAAAGCTCTCTCCGCGGTGTCTCGGCTTGTCAATGCAGCTGCCAACTGTACTTCTAAAATACCATTTTTTCTACTTAGGGCAGCAATTCTTGTCTCATAAAATTGACATATGCTTGAAGGAGCTGATAGGGCTCCTGGTTTATCAACCACTTCTGGAAATACAAAATTATCATTATCAACTAGTACAATTGCGATCCCTGCAGCCCCGGGATTTGAACTTGTAGATTCAAATAGGAATGATTTGTGAGAACTGATTTTGGTTCCAGGAGCATTAATCTGAATTCCTTCCGTTGCCTAAAACAACAAAAATGTGTTATGTTAATGGAATATTTCAATGGCAAAGTAGATGCCATTTCAAATTTGAGAAGACATTATAGGATGTTAATCATCTTGATGGCAATAGTTAATTAAATGAAGCTTCTACAATTACACGCAGAATAGAACTTATGTCCTCTGAACTCTTTGTTACTCTAACAGTTGTGATGTATTCTTCCTCATTATGTAATTGCTTCCGTAGTGAGATATTTCCAGAAAGAGGATTTTGTTCCCCAAGAGACAACTCTGACAACGATCTCCTAGCCGAACCATTTTCAATTATAGAATCTAGGTTTTGTCTAGCAGCAGAATCAACTAAAAGTTGGGAACAGCCGTTAATAGGTTGACTAGCAGACCCTGCGGTTGATGAACGTTTTCCAAACTGCATTTGCCTCACAGATTTACCAGGAGTAGATTGCCGTCCCGTGGATGGTTCATTCTTCTCGATGATCAGTACTTCAACCTGTGAAACAGAAAAAGAAGGAATTACAATTTAAACACATTCTGATCATTCTAAATATACGAATTCAAACTTCAACCTGATTTGATGGCTCCTTTCTGCATCCACCGAATGCAACAAGAAAATCCTTATCCTTGAGCTGCACGAGTACTAGGCTAAATCCCTGCAAGAATAACTATCTTAAGAACATTAGGCCTCCATGTCTCATAACCAATGAGAGGTACCTTTTATTAAGGAATGCTCACTAGTAAATAGTGATTACATTGTGCTTAAACAAAATCTTATAAGAATTTTCTTATTTTAACTTCAAATCCAAGACCAACCAGAAAACTGGATGATCGACTCTATCAGTCAATTTTACAATCTTTTACCAAAAAGAAAGCATACAGGAATTCCAGTTATGTATAATTCACATTATGCAGTATGAGGGTATCTAATCATTTAAAGAATCACACCCTTCATGCAAAAGGACAAATTCAGCATGTTGACCTTGTTCCTGGTGATCGAAGATGGAAGTGATGCAATGGCCACAGACCACTCAGACTTTAAAACATATGAAAGTCTCTGTATGTCCTGTAAACATTTCAGAATCAAATATGTAAGGGCAAATAAAAAAAAAGTAGAAATGAATGCAATAACAGTAATACAGTAAACAAAAGTGAAAAATAGATTGCTTGATGTACGCATGGTCATAGACTCATAGGTGATATATTCAATTAAATTTATGAAATGGAACTTGATTTCCAAAGAAGTAAATTCACCAGCCACTCCTTTTTTCTTTTCATTATTTACGACCGCCGCACTCCCCCCCCCCCCCCCCCCTTCCCTCATGCAAGCAAAAAGTGAAGACCCCAAACAAAAACATAGATGCTGCATGCTTTAACTCATTTGTACCAATCATAGCATAATATGGTTAGTACACACTCACAGACTAGTGCACGGACACACACAAAGGAGTCAAGAAGATGGTAGCAATTGGCTTAAAGCTGAAACAAGAATACGATATAAGAAAGTTACAGGCCCAACTATTTCACATGTGATGCTTTTTTCATCGAAGCTTATAGATAGTTTCAAGAGCTAGTACATGCTTACTGGTATGAGGCATACCTTTTTTCCTACTTCCACCTCCTGCTATGTACCATTTTGTTCTGCATAGAACTCCACAGCAAACAGCTCTTGGTGATGGATGAAAACCCCGTATTCTTGACCATATCATCTGAGGAAACGTAATTGTAAAAGAACCATTATAAGCTAATAGAAAAATACAAAGCAATGACATCGTTCAACCACATAATCTGCTAACTTAAACATGCAAGATGGCTAAGGTTTTACACACTATTTCAAAGTCAAGTGAGTATAAGTCATTCAATGTCCTGGACTTTGATGCTCCACCAAAGATGGAAAGAGTTTTATCATCATAAAGAGTTGCCACATGATTGGATCTTAGAGATGGTCTTGTTCCCCCGTACAGTTACACAAAACCACTCTTTTATTAGAAGCTTCTTGCATCAGGAATTTAGCCTTATGATGCATAGATAAGAGCCGGTTTTCTCTATCAGCAAAGCCACATCAACAGCATAGGGGCATAAGTCTTATACCTAGGTTGAGTTACTCGTCGAATCTAATCGAGTTTTTATATTTTAATATATTTTAATTATTTTAATGAATAAAATATCTCAAATTCGAGTTCGAATTTGAATATAAATAATTAAACCTTTATTGAATATAAAAATCAAATTTATTTTTACATGTTAATTAAATCTAATCGATCGAGCTTGAATAATTTGATTTTTATCTTGAATTGAATTCGAATTAACAAAAATTCGATCAAATTTGAGTCAAATTTTAAGTCTTGAATTTGAAGTCGAGTTCGAGCTCAAGCTTAAATTTAACATTATATCGATTCGAATTCGATTAATTACACCTTTAAATCTAATATGATATATATAATTATTTTTTAATTATTTATTTAATTTTAAATTCATATATTTTATATTTATATTAAAAACTAATATTTTATTAATTTTAATTTTAATTAAATTAAATATAATTTTATATAATATCAAATCGAATTGAACCAAATTAAAATATAAAAAAAATTATTTCATCCAAATTTAAATTGATATATTATAAATATAAAATTAAATTCAAGACAAAGAAAAATTTGATCGAAACCGATCGTTGGCATATCCAAAGCGTGAAACGGTAATACTAGCAGTACCACTGTTGAGAGCGACAGAAGAAGGGTGAAATAACATGGAAAAATAACCACTGGGTAAGTAATAACTTTCTGTATCAGAAAGAAAAAGGACGAGTCCAACGTTAAAAAGTTAGGTGTCCTTTTTGTTGTTTAGTGTAGTTTTTGATAGTCGAGACCTGTCAATCAATTATTGCGAGCAGCAGTGGGATCCATTACTGGGATCGCTCTGTCTTCAGGCTGCCCGGCTGCTGCCTGCTACAGAGGATTCAAATCTTTCCTTCCAACTAATCACAGCACGTGTTACTTCCTCATTCACTATTGTCCAGTGAATGTATAAAATAATAATCCAGGCATTTTGATACATACAAATATAATTTTTAGTCGCCCGATAAATTTACTAGAAACTTTTTTGAACGATTGAATTAGATAGAAAAATTCAAACTCTTTCACTCTGTAATGATATATGTATGTGTGTTTGAAATAAACTAGATGATCTCTATTTTTGCTTTGGTATTTTATATATATATATATATATATATATAGGAGGAGAGTTTAATGTTGGGGTGCTGTTATCATGGAGGCATTTGGTGAGTTGGAGAGAGAAGTTGGATGGATTTATCCAATTGAGACCTTTCATTATTTGTTTGTTTTGTTTTTTTATTGTCGTTGCTTTATTATAAGATAAAAACCCATAGTTCCTAATTAAAAAAAAAAAAACAAAAAATTATTTGAAAAAGAAAGCGCGAGAAAAAAATAATATTGACACAATTTTTTTAACAAAAAGTATCGTAATTTAGGGATAAAAAAAGTTACACATACTAAAAATTAAATTTTAAATTTAAATATTAATTTTTAAAAATAATTTTATGAACTAACTAAACTAAACTCGTTATTCATTATTCTAACACATTTTCTTTATACAACATTCATTAGAATTAAAGACACTTAATTTCTCATATACTCTGGATCATATATATATAAATATATATATGTCTATCTCTAGAAAAATCTCATCATCATAAAATAATTCAAAAATTTTTGCACATTTTTTCTCAACTTTTTTCTTCATCACTAATTGGAATCTTGTTTGTTTTATTATAATGGCAAAAGTATATGTATATATCATGCAAAAATATATATATTTTATGATAAGTAATTTTCATGTTAGGCTAATGTTTCCAGGCAAACCATAACCTAAGAAACATAGATACTATAAATTAAACAAAACTTAGATATAAAAGCACAATCCCATAATCGGCTCAATGGGAGGCCAGTAACCTAATTTTTGTAGGGTCGTATTATTACTTGACCTAATATGTCTCCTTACGTGCGTATCATAAGCCGTGCATGCATGCATATAGAATTCATATCGATCCTTCAGCTTGCTTATAGCATGCCTTTGGTTTTCATGTTTCTTCATTTTTGTATCAATGGCATGTAATCAATGCTATAAATCAAATATGGCAAGATTCAACGATTGCAAAAAATTAACAATTTATACCTTTTTCCAAAAAAAAAAAGTATAAAAAAACATGTGTTATATATTTAATTATTATATTCATATTCATAATAGAGAAATTATCACATTCATTGATAATTAAGTTTTTAAATTTCATTTTTAGGATTAGTAGAATGATATATATCTCTTAAGATATATTAAAAAAAAAAGTGTGACATATGATTTTATTTATGGAGTTAAAAAATTTTACTATCATTAATTGTATTAAAAATAAACTCTTTATAATAAATTATATATATATGTATGTATGCAATGTATATGAATAGTATGATATATGTATATATCATGCATGAGAGATATATGCATAAATAGGATGTGCATGCATGGGTGATGATATAGGCACAAAAATGATAAAGAAAAATACATGCATACGAGAACCGATTGTGGCATCCCATATTAGGGCTATGGGGTTGGTGAGGTACAAATTGCTCCCACTTTCATTTTTTATTAGTACTCCGTTTTCTCATATAAGAGCAAGAAATAAAGCAATGGATAGAGACGACGGTAGAAAATTGATGAAGGAGAGATTAACTAATAATTTTAAAGAAAAAAAAAGAATCAAAATAATAATTAAGCAAGACTAATCATTGTATAACAAGAAAGGTAAAAAATTTTAGGAGGACCATAACATTTGCCTACTCCCTTTAGTTATGTCCCTGGAAATGAAATGACTGATCCACACAAGGAATTCCTCTCCATCCAAAACCCAAAAAGCAGGAAAAAGATGAAAAATTATTCTCTAAAATTTGTTAAGACATTTTTCGATTATATAACAATACAATGACATGAAAAAAAAAAAAAGATACAGTATTTTATAGGAATTTTAATCTCGCCTTAAGGTAGGGTTACAAAATTTTTTTCATGCGCTTGGTTCTTTAATCATATTCAATAACATTCCATAAATATTTTTAATTATTCTTTAACATCATGATTATTGATTTGTCATTCCTTATCTAACATGCATAAATCTATATACAATTTGATCGTTTGATGATTCAATCTGGCTACTCAAAAGCATGGGAAGCAGATATGCAATCCCAATAATAAGGAACAGTCTGTTTTGCTTTCATGAATCAAATATTATTGCTATTCCAATTCCCTCAAAGGTGCCACATATACAATCCAATAGTCTTCTTGATGAGCTTTGCATTCTTTTTTTCAACTCTTAAATAAGCCCAAAAATAAGAACCAAACCATCAAATCCAATTCAAATTTGTCCATACAACCAACCAACTTTGCAAGTCTCGAGGATCAGCCTTTCAAGTTTTGGGACAAAATGTCAATTATCTTTTAAATCAGTTCGCATGTTATTAAAATTGATATTTAGAGGTTACAAGTTTGAAGGAGTTTAGCTGTATAATGTCTTCTTCAACTAAATATGTAATAAAATAAGAGAAGTTGAAGGATAAATTAAAAACTTAAAAAAAAAAGTTTCGTAATCAGACGATCTCAACCATAGCTCATCCAGTCCCCAACATCCATTTATTTTCCATTCTCAACATGTCCAAAACCAAATGGAGAACGTTACTTGGTTGGGATTTTGTCTACCCTACCAAAATCAAGAAATCAAGTTCCCAAAGCAATTCAAGACATACCCAAAGTATTTTCTTTTTTTTGGGTATATGTTCACCATATTTCAAGGTTGTGGAATTCATTACTTCCACCAAAATTTTGGTAATCCAAGTCTATATTGCAGGCTCCAAGATCATGAATAAGGGTTCATTTGGATAAGCAGTGAGATTAATTTTGATGAAATTAAAAATACAATAGTCATAAAATTAATTATTATAGCAGTAAAATTGGTTACTGTATCAATAAAATTAAAATTAGTAGATATCAATTTGGATAACAAAATAACAGTAGCGGTAAGGTGAGAATAAAAAATGACTATTAAGAATGATTATTAAGAACTTTACTCTAAAAGTATATTAATAAATTATTTTTATATATTTTTATACTATTTATTTATTATATTAAATTAATTAAATTGTTTTAAAATTTGTAAAAAAATCAAAATGACAAAAGTAAAAATAACGAAAGATTAAATGATATGAAAATCTCTACAACTTTAAGGGTAGAAAAGGAAAGAAATAAACAAAATTGGGATTAAAAGTGCGGTGAAAATGTACCAATTTTAATTTGAGCTTTTATCTTCGGTAAGTAACTAAAGGCCATCACACGTCAATGATATTATACAAACGTTGTATCAGTGCATTTGGCATAATATTTCATAATAAACGAAGCTCAACCGGAGATATGGTGCAATTCAAATAATTTTTAAGTCTTCGTTAAAAAAAAAACTCTAAAGATAAAAATCATCCATTAATTATTAAATTAAATGTTTGAGTGTTATTACCATTAATGTTTGAATTTATGTTAAAATTTAACGAAAGAATTTGAGATTTAACAAATAATTTTTGAAAATATGTGAATTAAAATGATATTTGGCTAAAAATTTCAGATTTAAGACTAATATTTACTCTATTTGCAATGAAGTGAAGATGTAAAATTTTTCTTTAAATATTTCCATTTTTAAAGCCCAATTCATTGGGCTTCCATGTTGGACCTACAAACAAATCACTTCCTTTTTTGTAAAATAATATTTTAAATGTATTCGTTCCTTCGTACAAAAACTGCTTTTTTGTCAGAAACTGACATTCTGAGTTTTAAAATTTAAAAAAAAAAAAAACCATTGGCGGGTCAAGCATCATGACGTCACCAGCTTTTTCCATAATCCAACGGCTCAAATTTCAAAACTCCGAAAAGGTAAACACGGAAATGAACCACACTAAATCAAAGCCCCTTTTTCTTTTTTCTTTTTTTTTTAAGTTTTTTCCTCTTTTAAACAGTTTTTATTTTAAAAACATGTGATGAGAATGGCCATCACAAAGTGTGGAACCACATCCTCTAAAGTGGGACCCACACTTTTTTACTCCGACCGTCCTGACATTATTACTATTAAGTTATAATTGATTAATAAATTTCTATATTTATTTTCTTTTTTTTTCATAAATTTCACCAAAATTAAAGGGTAAAAAATTTTATTAAAATTTAAAACCCTTTTTCTGAATAATATAACAAAGATTTAGGCAATTGTGATAGAGAAAAAAATATAAATATTGAAGTTTTAAATATAAACAGCAACAATAAATTAAATTTTATATTTTAAAATTTTAAGTTTGATTAAATAAAAAATAAAAAAAATTATATTATCTTAATTTTTAATATTTTTATACCACTCATTTATATAAAAATAATTTATTTATCTACACTTTCGTATCGAATTAAATTTATTAATATTATTTTCTTAAAAGAATTATATAAATTAATTGATTAAATTTTAAATTTATTAATATGATAAATTATTAAATTTTTAATTATAATAATCAAAATTAACTTTGAAGAGATTATGTTTCGACTCAAAACAAAGGCTTTTGCTTACCCTAGAAACTTTAGTAATTACGAGAAAATAGTTTTAAAAAAGTAATTATGTGAAAATAAATTTACCTAAAGTAAATCTCTTAATTAGTGGATAATTATACGTAAAATACTTTTTAGCCTCCGCCTTTTATTTCCAGTAAATAAATAAATTAAACTATTTATTCAATTGTTTCTTTTTTCTTTTTCTTTACCTTCTCTTCTTACAGAGCATAAGTTTTTTTTTTTCTTCGATTTGTTGATCTGCCACATCGGTCTCGATCTTTGTTTGAAATGGGAACTTGAGATCATAGAGAGAGAAGCTAGAAGATTCAAGGGAGAGGGTTTGAAGGGGGAAAAAGAGTAGGTAAAGATTGGGCCTTTAGAGAGTAATTCAGTGATTTTTTTTTGAAAGGGTGAAAGTGAGGATGGTTTGGACTTTGGAGTAATTGTTGAAGAATTGTGTTAAAGTTTGGGTTTTTAATTCTGGGTTTTGTTTGATTTGTTTGGATTTTGATTATGGGTGGGTGTTTTCCTTGTTTTGGATCATCAAACAAGGAAGGGAGTAATGGTGGGGACACTGTGAAAGAACTGAGCAAGAAGGATTCAACTAAAGATGGCTCAGTTGGACAGTCTCATCATGTTAATAGAGTTAATTCAGGTAAAAGGTTTTCATTTTTTTAGCCAAAGTTTACTCTTTTTTTGCTCTCTGTTGTTTTAACTTCTTGGTTCTTGATCAGCTGGAGTATGTTGAATTCTTTGCTTTTCTTGGTTTGGTTTTCAAATTTTTGATGATAGGTAGCTGTTAGAATATGTTGCTAGTTTGATCTGACACATTTATGGTTGTTTTGGGGTGTTTCATTGATTTAGATGGTTTATCAATTTATCTATCTTTTAGCTTTGAGTGTTGCTTTTCTTTGATGAATTGTTAGTTAGTGATTTGTTTGTTGGTAAACTAGTTTGAGTTTTACCCAGATGAGGACCTAAGGAGTTATTTGGGAGTCTGCTCTTAGTTTTAGAAACGCGGATTTTGTCATTTTCTTGTAAATTCTTTTTCATCCATAATCGTTAACCTAACATGGACTAAATGGTAGTAAATGCATTTTAGTGAGAATTTGGAATTTTCCTATAAATGATATAGAATGTAGTCAAATAAACAGTTAAAAGCTTTGCCTGAGATGTTTCTTCTTCCACTTAGAATGTAAAATGCACTGTCAAAGTCTTAAATTAAGAACTATATACAATCATCTGGGACTTTACTATTATGGTTAATTTTGTGTGCAAGAGAGACGAGTTTATATATTCTATTGACGAAGTTTATTGTAGTGCACAATTCTAAGGTTATAAAATGGTCCATCTCCATCTCTAGGTGACTTAGTTTTATGGGGTTGCAAGTTTACTTGCAACAAGCAGTTGTGCTCACTCTATGCCACATTTACAGGAATATGGCCTTTAACTTTTGTTTTTCCCTTTTAATTGTAATTCTATTGTTTTCTGTCTTCCTTCTTTCATGTTGTCCAATATATCTGATTCACTTCTTTGAACAGACAAATCGAAATCTCGGAGTGCTTCTGATTCTAAGAAGGAACCTGCAGTACCTAAAGATGGACCAACAGCAAATATTGCAGCACAAACATTTACCTTTCGAGAGCTTGCCGCTGCCACACAGAACTTCAGGCCAGAATGTCTATTGGGAGAAGGGGGTTTTGGACGTGTTTACAAGGGTCGCTTGGAGAGTACAGGACAGGTCCGTTAAAGATACTTGAAATAGATGTGATGTCAATGACCGTGTTTTAAACATGTTCTTATGTTATTTGATTGTGCTTAAGTTGCTTGCTTTCTCTGATAGACTTGGGATCCTACTGATGTTAAATATACTCATAGTGTAAGCTTTGCAATTTTTTACTTTTATTTTGAATTCTGGGTGTGAAGAATGTTAATTATGTAGTTTAATCAATTCTTTAATAATTGTTTCATGTTTGCAGGTAGTTGCCGTCAAACAGCTTGATAGAAATGGCCTTCAGGGAACTAGAGAATTTCTTGTTGAAGTTCTCATGCTTAGCCTCTTACACCACCCAAACCTTGTCAACTTGATTGGTTATTGTGCTGAAGGGGACCAACGCCTCCTTGTCTATGAGTTTATGCCTTTAGGGTCATTGGAGGATCATTTACATGGTAAGGGCGCCAGTATTTTTGTGTTCATGATACTTTCAATCCTTTAGCTTTTGGTTTGATTGCACTGTCAACTTGAAAACTGAATCACACACTCAGAATACTTCTATGTCGGTGAATATGCATGGCTGTTTGCTTTTTCCTGTCTTCAGGAACTACAGTTTACCAATTGAGTGAATTACAACAGAAGGTTTGTAGCCTTAATTACAGAGTTATTTATTGATGAAGCAGCATTGGATTGACTTTGGTATAACCATACTTCCTTCTATAGAGCTCTTTTAACATATAATGAAGAGTTAATGCCTGTTAGAATAAGTTATCAAGATTTTTAGAATTGTAATTTAGGGAGAATGGTTTTTGTTTCACTGAACTAATGGTCTGTTTCTGATTGTTTTTGGCTTCCTCTATGCTACTAGACAATATATTACCAGATATCCCATTGTATTGGTGCCTGGTCTCTTCCTTAACACCATTTCTAGCTCCTCAAAGAATTTTCGTTTTATTTTGAAGCATTACCTAGCCATTAGGTTGAGGCTGAATTTTGCTACATGGTGGTTTACACAATTGCTAGTTTTGCTAAATATAACTGTCAATTGGTGGCTTGCTTTAAAGGATGAAAATGATCACACCCCCTCCCTCCCCTCCTTTTTATCTTTTGTCTACGTTATGATGAAAACGAAACCATGCATGTCTTCAAAATTAGAGATAGTTGAATGATGTTGACCTATGTCTATGCAAATGCTAGATGAGTGGTAAAGGTTATGAAGTTGGATGATAGTTTGACTGTGACTGTGTGCGGGAGAGTTTCTATTTGTGTGCTTTTTAGATTTTTGGTTTTATGCATCTTTTTGGTGTTGTTGTAGAAACCAAGATTATTTGAGCAACAAACTAGAGAGAAATTCTACAGCTGTGCATAAGCACAGATTCCTCTGCTAGAGATGTGGATTGACTAATATTCAGTATGATCCCACAAGTTCTAAACTAGGTTTAAGTTTCCAAAAGTAGAAGGCTGACTTACAGTTTGCTCAACAAGGTTGGTAGTTAGTTGTAATGTAGAGAAAGAGAGAGATCATGAAGGGAGTAAAGTTAGCCAAGTAGCTTCTGCAGGAGCTTATAAGGCATTAAGAAACGAAGTACGGGTCCCTTTGGAGAAACAAACTGTGACTCTATATTGGCAAATTTTTGCTTTGGTTATCCTCTCAGCTTGCCCTTGCTTGGTCATTTAATTAGTTCAGCTGTCAAAAGAAAATGTGTTCTTGATTGCAAATGAAGCAGCTGAATTTTTGGCAGTTTCCTCACAGCTTCAACATTTTCCCCTGAGGTCTAAACATTTATGCTAAAACTCTCCTAGCATCAACACAAAATAGAAGTGGAATCTAACTTCACTTATTACTATGAGAATGTCCTCACCATGTTGTTATTGTTGTGAGAATAATACATATAGAGGTGGCAAAATGGGCGGGCAGCCCATGGCACATGTCCCAGCCCATTATGTGTCGTGCCAGCACGATCCATTTTACTACAATAATCTTGCTGAGCCAGGCCAGACCCTCTTAGTCATGTTGTGCTGGGCTGAGCATTTCAAGGCTCATGGGTTGGCACGGCACAAGCCCATGGTTTCCCAAGGGTTGGCCAACAACACAAGCCCAGCATGGCACGACCCATATTTTGCTAACAAAGATATACAATCAATTAATTTTTTAGAAAGATCTATCCATTTTCTAATAGAATGCTCTATTTTGGTATGGCAAGATAAAAGGATCGATCCACATTTAAAGGGATTGATTTGTTTTTTCAAAAAACTCATAAAGATCAATCGGTTATGTGGCGAATATCGCTCACAAGAAAAAATTGTCATTGGAAGAAAATAATAATTTATATCATTGGAAGAAAAACTTGTAAAATTTATTATTTTTTAGTTAATTAATCTTTGTAAAATTTATTTATTCATAGTAAAAAACTTTCCCTTTTCCCATTGACATAGGCATTTTAAGACAAATCATGTAAACATGTCTTAATTTTTTCATAATGTCACTAAAATAATATATATATATATATATATATATATATATAAGAAAAGAACTCAATTTTTTTAAAAAATTAATGTAAAAAATTTTTTAAAAATACTATTTGATGGTCCATGGGCTAACACGGCACAACCCATATCATTATCGGGTTATGGACTGTGCTGGGCGAGGGTTTTTTTAATAAAAACCGTGCCTGGTACGATTCATTTTTTTTGTGTTGGGCCTGCCCAGCCCATTATAGTGTCGTGCCAAATATAGGATCGTGCCATGCCGCCTATGAATATACATGTGTACATGCATATATCTCTATGTAGCTGCGCATCAGAGTCTTCGCTCTTAATATTAAGTGAATCATCTAATCCTTGAAACTGTTATATGGGCTTGGGTTTTTTAAATTGACATCTCATCATGAGTATAACTTTTAAATTGTGTTTCAGTGATACTTTTGTATTTAAGGTTTCACTCAACATCAGCAGTCTTCTCTTCGGTGGCTTGTCTTGCACTCATTTAATTAATGTGCTATCAGATTAGAATTAGAGAATCACACGCTTGGCAGGCCACAATGATTACCTTGTTTTAAATATGTTTTCAGATCTTCCACCAGACAAGGAACCTCTGGACTGGAATACCAGAATGAAGATTGCAGCTGGTGCAGCCAAGGGATTGGAATACTTGCATGATAGAGCTAATCCTCCTGTTATATACAGGGACTTAAAATCATCGAACATCCTTCTTGACGAAGTCTATCACCCTAAATTATCAGATTTTGGGCTTGCAAAACTGGGTCCTGTTGGTGACAAAACCCATGTGTCCACACGTGTGATGGGCACTTATGGTTATTGTGCACCAGAATATGCAATGACTGGCCAGCTCACTCTAAAATCTGATGTGTATAGTTTTGGAGTGGTCTTTCTTGAGCTTATCACAGGACGCAAGGCCATTGATAATACATGTGCTCCCGGAGAGCATAATCTTGTTGCATGGGTAAGTATCTTTTCTCTTCTATCCTGCCATGATTCTAATGCAAGAGATTACTTCCAAAATTTATTCCTTGCAGAATTACTGTTATATTTTATTTATTACTGCTTTGAATTAAATCAAGTTTTCTTGTACTTCTTTTCTATCTTGGGAAAATGGGGGTTTGTAGGCACGACCACTATTCAAAGATCGTAGGAAGTTTCCGAAAATGGCTGACCCACTACTGCAAGGTCGTTATCCAATGCGTGGATTATACCAAGCTCTTGCAGTTGCAGCAATGTGTTTGCAGGAACAAGCTGCTACAAGGCCTCTAATAGGCGATGTTGTGACAGCCCTTACATATCTAGCCTCACAGACCTATGAACCCAATGTGCCCAGCAATCACAGCAACAGAGTTGGTCCATCAACGCCAAGACTCAAGGATGATCGAAAGAGTATAGCAGATGGTTTGGACAGCCCAGATGATCGTGGACAGCATGGTTCCCCTTCTACCCGTAGAAATTCACCTGATTACAGGAAGAGGAATCATGGTAGGGAATTGAGCTTTGGTGCAGAATTAGGCAGGAATGAAGCTGGTGGGGGGTCAGGGAGGAAATATGGTTTAGATGATCCAGAACGACAGGAATCTCATAGAGATAGCCCTCTGAACCCTGTGAGAGCAAGGGAAACTCCACGTAATCGTGATCTTGATAGAGCACACGCTGTTGCAGAGGCTAAAGTATGGGGTGAGAATTGGAGGGAGAAAAAACGGGCAATGGGAAGCTTTGATGGTACAAATGACTGGCGCATCCAAACTACTTAATTCATGTCATTTTGCTCGTTCAAGCGATGCCATGTTGTATCATTGTAAGGGTCGTCATTGGAAAAGAAGAAAACTTTGAAGATAAACCATCCTTTGCTGTCAGTCTCCATTTCTACCCAGGAAATAAGAGTTAATGCGTATATCCTACTTTGACTGTTGCTGCTTGTCCTATAATCATTCTTGTAGTTGAGTATGAAACTGAATGCTTCAAATTATGTGGTTGAAGGAAGAAACACGGTTAAAGAAGGTATCGAAAGCGGTTGACCGGTTCGGGGCATTCACAGGTAAATTACTGCAGCCGAGAAAATATTGTATGCAATATGTTAATCCATGTCTTTAGGCTTTTTATTTTATTTTATTTTTTCTAAGATTCATGTTACAGGAGATGTTGGGAAGACGTCTAATTTTTGCCCCATATTATTGTCTTGTATGCGGAGAGAACGTAGTGGGTTTTGTGTGGATGTCTCATTGGTGTTGGCATCTTTTGTAGTCGTACAGTTCTTGCGCATGGATTTCTGAGTCGGTCCTGCTTTCGGCTTGATACAGAGGTTTCATGATATTATTTTCATGTATGATGATCGTCATCATATTGTTCTCTATGTAATTACGTCTTTCCTCTCTCTCCTCTCTCTCTCTCCCTTTAAAGTTCTAACTTCTAACTAAACAAAACAAAACTGCATTGGAAGGCAGTTCACATGTTCTTGATGATTGAGGAGGAACAATAAGTTTAATTGGCATACAAATATCATATGGTTCCGATGGATGGAGCATAATATTGTACTTAGAAAACCCTAGTTACCCGGTATACTCGTTTATGCAGCTTTCAAATCCTAATGCATCAATAATGATTTAGCCCTTTCAAGTCAAGAGTCTAGCATGCAAACTACAACCCAACTCCTCAACATGATATTTCTTGCTTTAAACCCAAAATTTGTAGTTTACATTGCTGATATCACTTTCTCTTTTTCCCCTGCAAAATAAGATAAAATAAAACTTATATAAGAAAAAAGAAAAGATAATAAATTGATCACAAAATTCATAAATTTCAGTGCAAAACAAACCGAGATCACATAATCATCCATTGATAGCTGCTTCCGTTTCTTTAGTTGTGTAGGACTCTCAGTTGGTTGCCTCCCACCACGCTTTGATGGTGTCATGTTCTGAAATGTAAGAATCGTGTAAGGAGACTCAACTGGAATAAATAGAGCAACCAAAGAAATATATAATTTCAAATGAATCAGACAAAGAATGACAGGTTGCAGCATGGCATTTTGATAACAGACAAAAGTAAAGATGTGCCGAACCTTGGCAAGTTTCTTCTCCTTGCGGGCTTGTCGCTCCCTCTCGTCGTATTCTTGGTTTTCCTTCTCAACCAATCGAATAAGGGTATCACATCTCCTTGCCAACTCTTGAGTTGTCCGTGACTTCACAAACCAATCAAATCGAAACAAAGGGGATGTACGGAATGCTGCTTTCAACTCCTCCCAATTCCCATATCCAAGCTTGTGAACCATGCATATCTGTTTAAATGTGACGCAAAGGCACAAATATATGAAAAACAATATTAAGGTGCATCCAAATATCCTGACTGATGAAAAAGATTTAAAGACACACCATGAACCGATCACATTCTTCATTGTACAGCTTCCCTTTGTTCTGACCATACTGTATCTTCATTTCTAGCCATGGATTCTTGTAGCGATCCAATTTCTTGCCGATAGCTTTCATGATCTCATCTTTTCTAGAAATCCTGGACTCTCCTCGTTCAATGTTCTTAATTATCCTATCATAATCTGTATTAAAAATTCCAGCAATTAATGTAACATAAAAAACCTTGACCAGAACCAACTACTAGAACTAGTTGAACCAATCAAAACTATTCTATGATCGATGTAGCATATGTTTTCCCAAGCATGCATATACTTCAATCATATTAAATGAAGCTCCTGGAAGAACATACTTAAAAATTGTCAAATTTTAATACTCAAGATCCCGTCTAGAGAAACAACTATGGGCAATTGAAAACCAATCCAAGCGATGCAAAAATAACATAATATTGGAGATCACTTACCATTTAACTCCTTGTATCGTTCTTTAAAAACTTTGGCGTATCTTTCAACTTCCTCCTCCGTTTTCCCTTCCATTTCTGAAGCAATACTCTTTATATCATTTCGTCCATACTTCTCACAAGCTCTAATGAAAGTATTGAAATCTCTTCTACTCCATGAAGAAAATCCCTATGCACCCAAAAATTAAGTTTGAGTAAAGCACCCTATAAATAAAAACATAACACACACCACATTCCACTCACCTCTTCTAACAGTCGCTCCTTTTCCTCCAACTCCTCAGCAGTTAATGGATCTCCCCCTTCTAAATAATGAGACTAAGTCAAGAAGGCATAAAGAAGATTGTGTAACATAAAGCAGCACATTATATAGCAAAAGTAAAATACCTTCAGGTTCATCCACATCAATAGTGTCCTTTATCTGATTCTTCTGATGTGTTTGCTGATTTCAATTAAAAAAATTACAGCCAGAAAATAACTCACAACTAACACCAAGAAGTCAATGAAGAAAATAAAATTTTGGTATTTGCTCAGATCATCCATACCATGAGATAGCGTACTTCTTTCTCATACAACTCACTTAGCCTCTGAGTGTTAAAAAATTGGAAATCATGCCTGAGAAATTGCAAAATTTTATTAGCCATGATATCTAACAATGCAAACTATTTAACAGTCGTTAGTTTGAGAAAGTGCTTACAGTTGAGGCATGCGAGGAATTCGAGGTTCCTTAGGTTTTGTTGGACCACCTTGGCGCATGGTTTGTTTAAAGTACTCAGATTCTGAGTAACTGATTAAAGGAAAGAAGAAATAAAAGTCAAATAGAAATAAAAGATAACTAATGCCAAAAATTAAGTAGAATGCTGAAATAACCAACTTACTTCCGCTTCCGCTCTCTTTTTGGTGGTTCAATCCAGTTTTCACTTACAATTTTCTTGAAGTCAAACTTGTTCTCATCCTTTATCAAGAAGAAAACAAAAGCAGCAACCATTAATAAAGGGCACTTCTAAAACACTAGACTTAGCGAAGACCAAACAGAAAGATTAGGGACAAAATATAAAGAGTGTGTGTTTACCTTGTCATCATCAAAATCATACAATTCAGCAGCTACAGAAACAGAACAATGTCAATGGCCAAAAAAAACAATTGTTTATTGGACAATAAATTCACAAACAAATAAAACAAGAACAAGAGAGGCATACTATCATCCATCTTAAATTTAATTGCATCCTCTGTAAATTTCTTCATCTTGGCATCAAGTTCAGCTGTCGCTGCTTCTCCTTTAGCGATGATTCTATCGATGTCTTCATCTGTTATAGTGCTATCCTTGGAACTGAAGACCATTTCAGCACCAAACCTCACCATTTGAAGCAACTCATCCTTGTTAACAGCTGCATGAAACAAGAAGATATAGAAATGCTACAGATACAGACTCAGAATCACCCAAAACATTTAGTCTGCTTACAAACTTCTTACTTTTCTGTTCTGCTAATCGTCCTTGTTGAATAACCAGAGCATCTAGGGCAAGCTTTTTATAAGCCCTCTCAATCACCTTTTCCTCAATAGTATACTGTTTCATAATAAACATACAAATCAGTATACCCTAGCCTAGGCTAACTTTTCAATTAGTGATCAAAGACAACTGTCAAACCTCCGTGCAAAATCGGAATACTTGAACTTCCTTCTTTTGACCAATCCTATGAGCTCTATCCTGTGCTTGCAAATCAACTTGTGGGTTCCTGCAAGATTCACCTAGCATCACTGATCCAAAGAGGAATAGGACAGATTAATAAAAAATAGGCAGGTGCTTACCAGTCACTATCGTAAAGGATGACAACATCTGCAGTAGCAAGATTAATACCAAGGCCTCCAGCTCTAGTTGATAACAAGAAAACAAATTTTTCACTTCCTGGCTTATTAAAGGCTTCAATGGAAGCATCACGATCTTCTCCGCCTGTATTACCATCAATCCGGCAATACAGATACCCACGAAACATCAAATAGTCTTCGAGAATATCCAGCAGCCTCGTCATCTGAATATAATAAATTCCCACAAAGCAACCACAAATAAGAAGAATTGAAAAATAATAAAACCGTGTATATAGTAAATGATGTAACCAAAATTAAAAGTATAACATGGGGAAATGTATAGACAGATAGCTGACACATTTCATATACACAGCACAGGAATCTATATATAAATAGATAAAATCTAGGCAAACCTCAATTACCTGTGAAAATATCAGAACTCTAGAATCACGCTCCTTCAGCTTTGGAAGTAACTTGTCCAAGAGAACCATTTTACCTGGAAATAAATTATTAAGGTCAGTTTTCATTCAACACCAATGGATTCAACATCTTCCAGGAAGTAAACTTACCAGCATTGGTTATAAGATGGTCTCCAGTTGTATATGGAGGTCCAGGTTCAGCACCTTGGAAAAGATATGGGTGATTACAGCATTTACGCAACTGCATTGCAATGTTCAGAAGACGCTTACGCTCTCCTCCAGCATTAACAACTTCAAGATCTTTTTGCAGCAAAGCCCTATAGTACTGTTTCTGCATCTGGGACATTCCTACTTTCAGGATTGTTTCCTTTTTAGGAGGCAAACCTTTCTCAACATCAGATTTCAATCTCCGAAGGAGAAATGGTCGAAGAACCTAAAGATGCAAAGACAAAGAATGTTAATTATTTGTATAAACCCACAGACCTGGCATGTATATAGATAAATTTTTTAACTTGCCTTGTGAAGTTGTTGAACGACCTCCTGCTGATCATTTTCACCAGAAATCTGAAACCACTCATCAAAAGTTTCAGCTGAACTAAAAATCTCTGGCAGTAAAAAGTTAAGAAGAGACCAAAGCTCATGGAGATTATTCTGCACAAAAAAAAAAGACACCAAGATCATTATTGATCACATCTATAAGAACCACAAATGAAGTAAAAAAAATTAAAACAAGAAAGGTAAAAATCATCACAATCATTTCAGTTGGCAACTAAAATTGATTCAAACAAGACAGGATACATGCTTGACCAAGTTTTCAACTTAAATGCAAGTCTAGGATCAGAATATGAATTTCTAGCAACTAAGTAGATGTCGTGAATGGAATGAGACTTATAAAACTCAGTAAGTGCTTCCATACCAAAGAACATTTAAATGCATACCTGAAGTGGAGTACCCGTAATAAGAAGACGGTAATTAGTATTGTAGAGTCTCATAGTTTTAGAAAGGAGTGAATTCTCATTCTTGATTCGATGGGCTTCATCGATAATTATATAGCGCCAACTAAAACGACGCAAAGCTGACTTCTCTTTGATGGCCATTTCAAAACTTGTCACACAGACATCAAACTTTCCAGCAACCAGTAACTCCTCACGGATGTATCTCTGTAGAAATTAGAAGACATAAGAATCATAAAAAAATAGGAAAAAAAAAAGAGTAATCAGTAAAGCATGATCAAGCAACTTACTCTTTCCTCAGGATTCCCAAGAAACTTTACAGCTCGCAAGACCGGGCAAAATCGACGAATTTCATTCATCCAGTTACCAAGAGTTGATTTTGGAGCAACAACCATATGAGGGCCAGTAATCCCAAGGTACTCATGCAGATAACCCAGTAAAGAAATGGTTTGCAAAGTTTTTCCAAGTCCCTGTATTGAAAAATTTAGTAAACAAACATCAGCTTATTGTGATCAACATATCCCTGATCAAGCTTATTGTGATCTTACAAACAAGCCTTGACAATTAACTTAAACAATATACAATCTTTAAAAGACACATTTACATCACTTACCATTTCATCTGCAAGAATTCCATTTATACCATTCTCATACAGTCGTATAAGCCAGTTTAAACCAGCAAGTTGGTAGTCTCTCATTTTTCCCTGAACACCTGGAGAGAAAAAAAAAAAAAGAGTAAAGAACATATAAAAGAGAAATGAAACCACTTAAACTGAGTTCTCCAACTGATGGATCTAAGAGAGAGAGAGAGAGAGAGAGAGAGAGAGAGAGAGAGAACTTACAAGAAGGCTGAGTCACCAATCGGGTGTTTCCAGACAAACCATCTTCTTCCTCCTTGAGACATTCTTCATCTTCTTCCTCTTCAGTTACTTTTGATGCATGACGGCCCCTAAATTAACAAGTGGAAGAAACAATTACTTGAGAAGGTCTAAATCAAAACAACTAGAGCATAAACAGTTCCGAATACTACAAAAATCATTAAATACCAAGTAGAAAACAATAACTATCACTTGCAACCAGTAGTATATCATGAAAACATCAGAAACAAGACAAATCATCCTTTTCAACATCTTTAGTAAAAAGGCAAACATATATACCTTCCTTTCACCTTCTTTTGTGATGACGATTGGTCACCTTTAGCAAAATGAGCAAACAACTCCGTTTGCTGCAAAAGATACTTCAAACGCCCCTTCCCCCTATTATTCTGTCATTAAACCAAACATCAGTAAACCATAAATTGCACCTAAAAAGAGCAGAATACAAACTTACGCACCATATCAGCATCAATGGCAGCATTTTGAGCATCCAATATTTCCTGAATCTTCTGCTTCTTTAGCTTCTGCATGTCTTTTAGCCTCTGCTTTTCTCGCTTACTAATTTCTGGACCAGCCCCGTTAGACTCATCCTACACAAAATTAAATAATAAATAATAAATAAATAAAATAAAATCTAAATATAAACAAAAAAAAGTTTAAATTAAGCTTTTTACAACCTATTAGAAACCCTAGAAGCAAAAATTATTCTAAAGCGGTAAAAACAAAATGCTTAAAACCAAAATTTTCAATCATTAGTAAACCCTAACTACAAATAACAACCAAAAAGCTAGATCCAACAACCAAAATCGTAAAAATTCCAAAGGAAAATAAAAGGAGACCGTTGAGAGGGGGAAAATCGTGAAATTACCTCGTCGGCGTCATCAGTGTTTTCATCAGCGACGGCGTCATCGTCTTCGTCGGAGGCGGCGGCAGAGCGAGCAACGGCTTCGAGCTCTTCCGCGTCTTCTTCATCGCCGTCGATCTGATCGTTGATTCGCTCCTCTTCTGATGAATTGGAGCTGTTGGATAGGGCTTCATCGGACGACGCCGGCTTCGACGACTTCGCCATCTCTTTCTCAGATCGGGGGTTTCTATTCTTTTCTTTTGGATAGAAAGGGAAAAAATAAAGTATAAAAAAGAAATAAAAACGAGAGAGACTGATTTTCGTACAGAAACGAGGCTCCGAATAAAAGTGATAGTGAATTGAAGTTGATGATATTGTAGCCGTTGGATTTTGGGAAAGTGGAGATTAATTGTTTTCAAGTGGATTGAGTGTCAAGTAGGCAATTTCCCGCCAGGTACAAGGAAACGAGAATTTCCCGCCTTGCTAACCCGCTGGCTCGGGGTTTGTAGCGCGTGGGCTCGGACCCTTGAATGCAACGACTCGAGCCATGGTGGGAAGGGGCTTTATGTGCATGGTTTGGGTTTGGTCGGTGACCGACTTGTGAGCAATATGACCATGCAACATTGACAAAGAGCAGCTAGACGACCCACCACTTGGTTCCAGTTAGTTTTGGACATAAGTTCCGAAATTTGGATAAGTTCCATTCATAATTTTTTTTTTATTCAAAATAAGTAGATTTTTAAATTCTTAAATCAAAATAAAATTATTTTGTATTTAATAATTTAAAAATTAAAAGTTATACATTAAAAATAATTGAAATAAAAATTTATCAATAATAAAATTCGAACACAAAATTTTTGTATCGAGATAATTTATCTTTACTAATTGAATCACTTCTTATTGATATTGTCGTATTTATGATACATATTTGTAATTCTACATATGAAAATCTTTACCGATAACAAAATGTTGCATACCTAATTTATAAGCTCGACAAGTAGCAAGACTTTGTGTGTGTTGTTACAGTGAAAATTTTTCAAAGTTTATAAACTCGTCCCTCTTAACACAAAATTCAATTCAAACTGGTCAAGAACCAACCGCAGTAAAAAAATAAAACATATAATGGCTAGGAAGAAAACACACCCAAAACAACGTTGAAATTCAACCCAAATGAAAAACTTTAGTATAATATAAAGTTCCAATCCATGGAAATTGCAACACAACAAAGAGTTCTGATTTCTCAATAACAGCAATTATAGTAAAAGCCACTTTGTTGTTATTATTATTTTATTATAATAAAAGTCTCATTGATAATTCAACAACTCATTATTCAGCAGTAGATTTTGTGACATCAGACCGATCTGAAATCCATGCTTGGTGTTAAAATAACCTGTCGAGTGAAACCAAACATCGTAATGAGATAATATAGTGTTCTCGTAACAAAGTGGAATGCATATGCATGGAACCCTCCTTGGTTCTTTTGGAAGTTAGCAGCTGCTTATTCATGTGGACTAAAGTTGTCTTACATCACTCTAAAATAATATTCGATTAGCGTAACAAACAAGTGATGGAAATGAAGACAGGGAAAGAATTTCACAAGAAAAACTATCCGACCTGGCCCCAAATTATATTTTCAATAAACCTGTAGGATCCGCTCGGGTATTGGGTATATTTGCCTTTACTTCCAACTAAAGAACCAAAATAAAAAAATTTTGTACGTAAAGAGCAAAAAAGTTTATAGAAGAGGTTACTAACATGTTACAGAGAAGCATACTGCGGAGAAGCAGCAGCAGAAGTGTCATTCGTAGCAACAAGCTCAACGTCAGACTGGGCAACGACTTCAGTATTTGTTTGACGGCCTCTGATTCTGAAACAAATATATGTGATTGCGACAAGAGCAGAAATGACAAACGGAAGCAAAGCTAGAATTGCGCCTTTTCCCTTGTACGTTTCTGAGATTGTAACACTCCATGTTGATGATGATGATGATGATGAGCCGTTGTTTGCTTCCATTTTTTGTTCAAACTAAGCTAGCACAGCGTTTTCTGTCTAAGGAAATGGAGGAAACTCCTCAGTTTGTTAACCAAGAACAACATATATGTGCAAGAATAAAAAGGCAAGTGGGCATCAGCACTGTTCACTTGAGGGGATGAATAATTTTTCATTCTATTATTAATTCAAAAAATGTAAATTTTATTATTTCTACAAATGTTATCAATTTTGTAAAAAAGAAATAAATTCCAGATTAATTTACACAGATCTATAGATGTGTGGATTTGACAAACATTTACAATAAAATTAATAAAAAGCAAAAAATTTTTGAGAAAAAAAAAAAAACTCAAAACAAATATTCACAATTTTTTTGGATTTTGGAGTGTTTTAAGTAAAAAAAAAAAGTATTATCCTTATAAAATGATATTGTTACATGCATTAAAATATTGCATCCAAATGATGCATTCATATATTTAATTTTTATTTTAGAGATTAAATTAAAAAATATTAAATTTTTTATGAATTATATTAAAATTTTAAAATACATGTATTAAATAAATATATAAAATACTTTTATTAAACGAGTATAAATAATATTTTCTTTATAAAAATAAGTAAAATCAACATGTAATATTGACAAATAATCAAGTTATCCACTAAGTATTCTCTCTCCTCTCATTTCCCTCCCTCTTTTTCTTTCTCCCTCTTTGGGTTATAGCAGTTTCTGTCAATTTTGACTATGGGTCTTCTTTCATTTGTTGCAATATTACACAGAAAATATGTAAGTGGATGGAGCAATAGGACGGTAACGCGTGGATGCGAGAAGTCATAAAGCAAGTCCATTTAAAATCGACAGGTCATATTGGGGTATGAAAACATAAGTCGGGTATTGTCTGAAGAACTGGCACGCATCGGCATGAGCCCTATATTCCTGGGTAGATCTTGTTCGTATTTAGTCCTCGTCAGCGGCTTACTTTAAACATTTTGTCGTGCAACTTGGGCTGGGTTTCTGGGCTTACTAAGGAAGGTTTTACGTGGCAGACCAACGTTTTTTACGCAAAAAGACAAAATTTACATAAAATATTTTAGGTAAAATTTATTAAGTTTTTTAAAAATAATTTAATAAAAAATCTAAACTCATAGATTAAAAAAATTTAATATGAAAATTAATAATATGTTAAAAATTATTTATAAATTAAAATTAATTTATATTTATTTAACGGTAAAAATGTTATTAATAATTTTACTAAAATTGTTTATATAAAATTTTATTAATTTTTAAAAATTTTAAGCATTTGATCTATGAAAAAAAAATTTTCAATTTAACAATTTTAATTTTTATTTAATCATTTTTAATAAAAAATTTTATGAATTTCACATAAAAAATTTTATTTAAAATTTTCCCATATAGTAAATGTTAAGAAGAAAATGACAATATCAAAAAATTTTCCCATATAAAGCTGAGTTTGATTAAGAAAAAATATGACTTATTCTTGAAGTTAGAATTAAAAGCTTATAAAAGGATCCTATTAGCAGTCCTGGGAAGGAGAAGGAGAATAAAAAACATTTAGAAAAAAATCAGAAAAGAGTTCGAAAGAGATCGAGAAATTCATTAGTCAAATCAACAACAAAAAAGGAATTTAGGAGGCTGACAGACAAATAAAAGTAAACTGAAAACATATGTTCACGATTTATTGGATTTTAGAGCGATTAAGTCAAAGGCAAAAGTATTATCCTTATAAAAAGATATTGTTACATGCACTAAAATATTGGATCCAAATGATGGATTCATATATTTACTTTTTTATTTTAGAGATTTAACTGAAAAATATTAAAATTTTTATGGATTATATTAGAATTTTAAAATACATGTATTAAATAAATATATAAAATATGTGTATTATACAAATATATATGATATTTTGTTTATAAAAATCAGTAAAATCAACCACTAAGTTTTCTCTCTCCACTCACTTCCCTCCCACTTTCCCTTTTTTTTTTTTTTTCTTTCTCTTTCTTTGCGTTCTAGAAAAGCAAAGCAGCATTCAAAAAAAAAAAAAAAAGGCAAAGCAAGGCAAATGCAATGCAAACGGAGTTATTTGCTCATTTTGCTATTTCTGACATTTCTTTTGTCCATATTTATGCCATTGAATCCAAAAGCAAAGCAAACGCAAGCAGCGACAGTGACATTAGTTGTCCATTGAAATCCTGAGAATAATCTTTCATCAAAAAGCAAAGCAAACGAGTAAGAGCGAGAAATCTTGAGAATTGTATCCAAAAGCAAAGCGAATGCGTAAGAACGATAATAATATTGAGCTGGGTAAGCCCTGATGGAAAAGCAAACCGAAGCCCGATAATATTTTGGGTTTTATAGCCGAAATACAAAGTAAACTTAAGCTCGAATAGCCTTTTAATAATAATAATAATAATAATAATAATAATAATAAATAGGATAATTTGTTTATATTTTACTTACTTTAAAAATAATATAATCAATTTATAATTCAATAACTTAGCATTTAATTAAATCAAAATTCAGATGTGAAGCAATCACACATCAATATTTCATTTCTTATCTTCTTTTTGCTTCCTTTTCATAACCTGTTTTAAAATTCCTTTTTATAACATTTTGTTATGGATGAAAAATGGCAAACGGGTGAGACCGAACAAGTATTGGTTGAATTTTTTTTTAATTTTAATCCAACGATTGGCTTATATTCCATGAGAAACAAATTTAAATTTTTTTTATAAATATAATTGACTTAGTTGATTAAATAAATTAAATCTTTTATTTTTTTATCATGATGTATTAAATAAATTTATCATAAATAAATGTCAAAATTATATTTCTCATAAATAAATTTATCATAAATAAATGTCAAAATAAATTTATCATAAATATATTTCTCAAACTCTGGTACTTTAAACTTGGGTGATACCACCATGTCTGGTACTAGGCAAAGTCTCGCAGCATTTATAGATTCGTAAAAATCCATTCCCTCTATAGCTCTTAATCTTTTCTTAAGTCGGCTCATGGCCTGATCAGTTTTTGAACTTTTTATAGGCATAACTGTATATGGCTTTTCTTTCTTCTTTACTTCTTTACAGTAGGGAGTTGAATAGGTTCAGCTACTTTTTCAACAAAAATAAGATTATTGTAACTTTTAATATTTTATGATCTAGTGCATAGGTCATTCTTAAGTAGTTGTATTTTGGAAAAGCTGCTTGTTGAGGTGGGAAGAGTGGTGCAATTTGATTCTGTTATGGATCGAAGCCTGGAGGATATGCTAAATTAGTAGCTTCTTACGAAGTATCTTTTTCCATTGATTTTCCTCTATTTATCTTTTCTAGGGCCTCTAGAATTTGGCTCAGTTTTCTCTTTAGTGCTTCTTAGGCTTTTTCTATCCTTTCAAAATGACTTGTATTATCCTACTCCATCTTTCTAGCTCGAGCCCAAGTATTGTATTACTAAATAGCTATTCTTGCACTTTAGTATCATAATTAAAGATTCAATAATGTTGTTATGATAATGCATGGATGA